GAAGGGGTGCACTCTGTCCTGGCGTTACGACGTCCAGGCGGGGTGGGTGGTATGTAGCGTCTGGCGTAAGTCTAGGGGGCGTGAGACCCTTCGTTGCCAGCTGATATTAGCAGTGCACCATGTTTGCGTCATAGTTGCTCTATTTTGCTTTTCAGTATTTCTTCTTAAAGCTTTATATTTACAAAGTCGAGTCACTTTTATTAAAATAGTGAAATATTAGCCCGTTAGATGTTTATGTACTAATCATGTTTTTAGATCAGGATTTTCAGATTTAACCCCTTCCGTGTTTATTGCCAAAGCCCATTCACGTGCCCAGGTGCTACTTGGATGGGTAGAGGCAATGGGCACGATGACCTAGTTCATAAGAATAATAATTAATAAGCGGCTGGCATTGTGTTAGTATATCGTGCACGACGTAATCTCCACATATGGTATGTGTGTTTTTAGGCTGTGGGATTGCGTCGGTTTAATAACTTTTTCATTTACTTTTAATTTGAAATAATATTTTATTCAACAAGATGTACGATGAACGTATAAACCAAATACTATGGTTATCATTACTATTACCATGATTATTACCATTACTATGAAATATTCTGTATCAAAGTAGTTAATTAAATTTTGTAATTATCATTATACGCAATGATTGCTAGCCTTGCCAGACGATTTCAGTGAAAAATGGTACGTACCGTAGAGTGTGATGTGAGATGAAACTCGGGTGACGGAGGCGTCCCGGGACGTTCTCCCTAGTTTAGGCTTTGCGCCCGGGTGGAGTGTATGGGGGTCGTGGAATGAATTTTTGTGAGAATGTGATTTTGCCTTTTTTAAATATAGGGTTAGGTAGGTAGGTAGTATACCTTCTGGTGTGCGTGATAGATTGTAAGTAGGTAGGGCCGGGACAGGTTGTCACAGTCTCTTGGTCGGGTAGGCGCGATTTCGCGTGATCAACCTGTACCTGGAATATATTTGAAGAATTGACGATACAATCGATACGAACGGAGTATGTCGTTCGCCTTCGATACTATCTGTACAATTTTTCAAATTTTTGGCGACTTCATAAGTCGTCATACGCGGTCGCGATGGCACGAAACGCACAAGTTCTGCTCGAGCACGGCACGTGTGCACGAACAACGATTTATATAAAATCCTTTTTCGTCCACGTGTCAATTAGAGTTTCGCGATTTTTCTTTTTTGTTGATTGTTTTTTTTCTGTTTTGCGAATTTGCAAGTCTCGAGCTTTAGATATAAGTTTCAGGTGGGTGGACCGCCCGAAGAAAGAAAAGGCTATATGCCGAAGCGCCCCGACAAACTGTCTTTCAAGAGGGGAACTACTAATGATTTTGCATCCTTTTGCAAAAAAGGATGGGAAATCATTATCGTTACTACTTTGTCACTGTGCTTGCCTGTAGTTGTAGTTTTGTAATTTCAGGACAAGAGGGGGCCCGTGACCCCCATGATTTTGGGCAAATCGCGTTTTCAATTTAGTGTTGCGAATTTTAAATATCGTGTTTCTTTCTTGCATTGCTTTAAAATGGAATTTAACTTTTCAATGTTGATTGCTTTAAGATTTTTGAGAGTTTTGCTTTTTAATGTTGATTGCTTTAGTGTTGCGAGTAAAAAATTCACGGTTTGAGAATCCCCCTTTTTTGCATTTTAATTGCATGTCTGTTAAAGATAGCGTTGCGAATGATATTAGCGCGATTGTTTCCCAGTGTTGCGACTTATAAATACGCGATTGCTTTGCATTAGTTTATAGAGTTCCCTGCTAATTAGTGTTGCGGTAATGAATATTCGCGTTTTGCATTAGAGTTGCGATATATGATGAAATGCCCAAAAACGATCCAGCGGAGTTGCATAAGGCAGCTATGGACCAGCTGCCATGATACAGCCTTGGATTGGCTGTACCCCTTTTTTAGATTAGTGTTGCGTCTTACAAAATTCGGTAGATTTTACTAGTGTTGCGTTACAGTTCGCGTTTTCTCCTTTTTTCTTTTTTTCAGCTTAGTGTTGCGTATAATGGAGCAGCCTTCACGCGTACGCTTTTGTACATATTATATAATTAATAAAATTAGTGTTGCGAGTAAAAAATTCACGGTTTGAGAATCCCCCTTTTCTGCATTTTAATTGCATGTCTGTTAAAGATAGCGTTGCGATAGACATTAGCGCGATTGTTTCCCAGTGTTGCGACTTATAAGTACGCGATTGCTTTGCATTAGTTAATAGTGTTCCCTGCTAATTAGTGTTGCGGTAATGAATATTCGCGTTTTGCATTAGAAATGCCCAAAAATGATCCAGTGGAGTTGCCATGGTCCATAAGGCAGCTATGGACCAGCTGCCGTGGTACAGCCTTGAATTGGCTGTACCCCTTTTTTAGATTAGTGTTGCGTCTTACAAAATTCGGTAGATTTTAGTAGTGTTGCGTTACAGTTCGCGTGTTCTCTTTTTTTCTTTTTTTCAGCTTAGTGTTGCGTATAATGGAGCAGCCTTCACGCGTACGCTTTTGTACATATTATATAATTAATGAAATTAGTGTTGCGACTGAATTCGCGATTTGTATTAAATTAGTGGAAGTAACTATGACTCACATTCGGTGGGAATCCATTGCTAGTCAAGGATTCCGCGGCCTAAGACCGTGAACACCATCTCTGGGAGATATACCCATGCATTACTAGGCCTTTGCAGGCGCAGCTTTAGAATACGGAACATATGAAAATATGTTACCATATTCTAAACTGTAGTCCTTTTGTCTATACTATGGGCGTCCGTCAATCTGACACCGTTGGATGCAACGTGTTGGACGGGCGGGTAGCGCTCTTAGCGAAGGGGTGCACTCTGTCCTGGCGTTACGACGTCCAGGCGGGGTGGGTGGTATGTAGCGTCTGGCGTAAGTCTAGGGGGCGTGAAACCCTTCGTTGCCAGCCGATGTTTTGTCATAGTTCAGAATGTTTGCTATTTTGAAATTAGTGTTGCGGTATGATTTCGGTTTGTTTTATAGGGTTTGCTTAGGGATTGCTCTTATGGGCAGTCACTTTTCTTTTCAGGTTCCCCTGTACCCTCCCTCCCACTGCCATGCCCCCATTCTTTTTTCTTCCCATTTTTTAATTTTGAAAATTTTGAACATTCGGTTATTGGAAATACTGTTAAATAATTATATGAATTTAATGTTTTCAGGATATTATTAGATACGATAAAGTTTTAAAGAGAACTTTATTCAAAGTTTTATTTAAAATGGAAATTCATTTTATTTTTTGATGATTGGTGATAATTTATTTCAAGGAATATTTGTTCATTTGAGATAGCTTATTAAATTTTAATTCTACTTTAATTCAACAAAAGTAGTGGATAATTGTTGTTCGAGTTGTTTAGTTTTAATTTTTGATCGCGATGTGTTGTTTCAAGCTTACGGAGAAGCTAATTAAATTACTTTTATAAATTTTCATATTCTTTTCCTGAAAAGCAAAGTCCACTCGTGACTTTTTTTCAGTTTTTCCATTTACAATAAATTTGCATTGAAAGATGTATTGAATAATATAATGCAATAAAGTCGAGTAGAGTCGTGGTTGTACGTACTATATATTGCAGTAGAAGGCAGTTGTTTCAATTAAAATATTGTGTGCTATTTGTCGCAAAATGAACGAATATTAAATACAATAAAATGAAATAATTAATCTTTATTTTGGTACTGAAGTTTGCTTTAAATTCATATTTCGTATCAAATTGATTTTGAATTATTAACAACCACTCTGACTTTTATAAAATTTTATTGTTACTAATGTATCTTCTTTCCAGCTATTAATTTTTCTTCGTCTTTATCTGGATTCAATTAATCAGTTTCTGTTACAGAGAAATATCTTTATAGGAATTATGAAATAATAATATCGGATAATCGACTGGAAGAAATATAATATAAAATCTAGTGTCCATAAATGGAATTCAATGTATCCAATTAAGTAAAATAAGATGAAAATGATTGAAAAGGAAAAATGGTTCTTATAAGTGGTAATATTTGAACCGTACTATTTTCGAAAATTGTATTTAATCCTTTTCTGTTTGTTTCAGGCAGGTTGTAAATTTATGATTGAGGCTACATGAACTTTATTATTTTCTTAAATTATGTTTAATCCTTTTCAGTTTTATTTCAGGAAGTATTCTGGTGAGGACAACAAAATCAACAAATTCATTGGACTTATTTATGTATATAGTCATTAAGATATAATCGTCAAACACTGCAGTGTTTAATTAGGAAGCGTTAGATTTAAGCGAATTTTTAATATAATTACGAGCGCTCGTTTAGTTAAGCATTCTTAGTAATATAAGTATGTAGGACAAATATGCAATTGCATATTTATTAATTACAGATCTGTAATCAAAATCAAAATGAAAAAATATTGAGATAGGAATAAAAAGCAAAAATCTACGTAAATATATGTATAGATAAGTAGATAGGTAGGTAGTGAATAAAAATAATGCACCTTTTGTTGTTCGTTTGCACAATCGTCAAAAACGTTTTGCAAATGTGCATCAAGAGGATGATGTTATTGAATAAAAATAAAAATTTGCATAAATGGAGGGTGGATGGGATGAGGTAGGGCGGGTCTCCACCCGCAGCAACCTCCCCGTGGTGAGACCTGGGCAATCGTTATTATTTGATGACTAATTAATAACTGTATCATTATTTCTATGGTACATTTATTAATTATGCAGCAAATAATACGAGCTAATTGGCTGCGAAAATGCTTTTTTTTCTATTTAATCGCTGTTATATTTTTTTCAGGAACTATGCCTTTGAGATTCTGAAGTGTATCACAATTTTACGGAAAGAAAATTAATAATAATGAATGCATGGTCAGTATTGTTTAATTATGTAAGTAAGTAGTACTTATTTTTCACTCGCGAAAGACGTCAAATGGTAAAACAGACCACAAATTTAGTTCTTCATTTTTTCTGAAGGGTGCAGTTCATTCGATTTCTGCGCTCAACCGCACAATCACAATCATTCGCAGCTTGTGTATGTGAAGCGGCTTCGACTAATGATCTCTCTTGATGTATTAGGTTAAGATTATTACTAGTGGAATAATCTCATGGATAATATGCTGGCATTGTTAATTCAACGTTAAAGAAAAATTTAACACGAAAGTATGTCACGTTTAAATACAATTTATTTTTCACGATTTAGTAATACAAAAATCTTACCTATTACTAAAGAAATTAGATGATTTTAATATTCATTTAAGCTTAAATAATTTCAAAACTTTGTTTAAAACATCTAAATATACATAATATGCCCATATAATGTTGAAAATATAGGTCATAAGGCTTGAAATAAACGTGACAAGTGTGTCGAAGTAAAGCTAACTTCATGAATAAAAATACTTTCTATGTGAAAACTACATAATCTAATCTTTTATAAAGTTCTGTTATGTTTAAGAACATGTGAATTAATCACTTGTTCTTGTTTTAAATTCTACACAACTTCTACTAAATGTGCTTATTACTTTATTCATTAAGTGATGTCTGGTAAGATATGTTATAAATTTACCAATGTAAATACTATGATACACAATACACAGTTTTGAAAAGAAAATGTTTGACAAATAAATTGTGTTTGCCTAAAACATGAATTTTTGTATTACTGAAGATATCAATTCAATGATCTTATGTTTTTAGCATATGATTAACATAATTTTACATTACACAAGGTTAATCTTCGATTCTTAATATTGTGAATAAGTAACATAAACCATTAATACAATGAAATGTCACTACGAAGTATTAGGAGTATCAAGAAATGCTTCTGATGATGATTTAAAAAAAGCTTATAGAAAACTAGCATTGAAATGGCATCCAGATAAAAATTTAGATATTCCAGAAGAAGCAAAAGAACAGTTTCAGCTTGTTCAACAAGCTTGGGAAGTGTTGAGTGATCCTCATGAACGTGCTTGGTATGATAATCATCGTGAGGCTATTTTAAAAGGTGGTATCGGTGAAAATTATAAGGATGATTCCATTGATCTATTCCAATATTTTACCACCACATGTTTCAAAGGATATGGAGATGATGATAAGGGATTTTACACTGTTTATCGTAATGTATTTGAAAAGTTAGTAACTGAAGATGCAGAATTCATGAAAGAAGGAGATTCAGACGAAGAAGTTCCAGGATTTGGAGACTCACAAAGTTCATATGAAGAGATTGTTCATAATTTTTATGCTTATTGGCAAAGTTATAGTACGAAAAAATCATTTACTTGGTTAGATCCTTATGATGTGAGGGATGCTCCTAACAGACGAGTTGCACGTCTTATTGAAAAAGAAAATAAGAAAGTTCGCGAAAAAGCTAAAAGAGAACGGAATGAACAAGTAAGAAACTTGGTTGCTTTTGTACGTAAACGCGATAAACGGGTACAAGCTCATGTAGCTAAGCTTGCCGAACGTGCACAAGAAAATTTGAAAAAAGCAGAAGAGCGGAAAAAGCAACAATTATTAGAAAGACAAAGAGAATTAAAGGGACATAAAGTATCAGAATGGTCTAAATTTTCAAACATAGAAGCTGAACTTAAAAATATTGAAGCTAATCTTGCACAAGAATTTGGTGAACAGTTGTCTTCTGACTCAGATACAGATGATGAAAATAAAATAGATGATAATTCCCTCTACTGTGTAGCTTGCAATAAAATATTTAAAACCCATAAAGCATTTACAAATCATGAAAACTCTAAAAAACATAAAGATAATATTGCTGTAATGAAAGCATCCATGATAAAAGAAGACAAAGAATTTGAAAATTCTGAAGATAGTGATGTCAGCTCACAATCCAGTTCAGAGAGTGAAAAGAAGTTAGCCACAGATTCCCAAATGCCTGACTTCTTATTAAATCCTGTTCAAAACATAAACAGTACCAAAGAAAAAGTCACAGATGAAGAAGAATTAATATCAGATGATGAAAGCTTCGACGAATCGCCAATAGTAAAGGGTGTGAAATGTTATCCAGAAGGAACTAAGCTTGCAGTAGGACCTCAAATGGATGATGCTCTGTATGTACCACCTAAAGTAACTGAAAATGATGACTACATAACTTCTGAAGATGAACTAATTTCTGATCAAGAAGATGAAGAAATTGTACTTAAAAAACAAAAGAAAAAGAAAAAACGGAAGAAGAATGTTCAGAATCCAGTAGCAGAACAGACTAGTGACGAGGATAGAAGTATTAACGAAGATGTATTACTGTCAAAGAAACAACGTAAAAAGCAGCAACAAAGAAAAACAATACTAACTAGAGTTGTAGACAATAATCAGCAAGCATCTAATGACAAAGCAGAAGAGTCTGATGAGCAGATAGAAAAAGAAATAAATGAAACAGAATTACATTCTGATAACATAGATATAAGTAGTGCAATTAATGAAAAACTTAAAAGTAAAAAAAATAAAAATGAAAAGAAACAATCCAAAATGTCAGAAAAAGAAAGTGAAACTAAAAATAAAAAGAGATCTCAAATTAATGAAGTTTCAGATCTGGCACATTGTTGTGTTACATGTAAAGTTGAATTTCCTAGTAAAAACAAATTATTTGAACATTTGAAGAAAACAGGCCATTCTGTATATATACCAAATTCAATGAAGAGTAAAAAGAACCAAGAAAAATTATCCAAAAGCAAAGGAAACAATGATAAAAGAAGTCATCATTAAATAACTTATGTTGTACTTTTAATATAATTTATTGTAATTGGCTCAAGAAATGTAAAAATATTTAGTTAATAAATATATCTTACAATCAAATATTATGTATTGTATCTTTTAAATGTACTGTATGTATGTACATATCAATATCTTATAAACAATAAATATTGAAAAACGTAAATTTTTTAGTAATTAATAAACAATTACAAGAAGAATAATTCATAGTTATTGGTTTTGTAGAAATTTATGTCATTATATTAATTTTAATAATCATTTGTAGGAAAACTGAGCTGCTAACACACTTTAAACAAAATAGAAAACTACTTATAACTTGAACAATATTAATTTTTTAATCCATGACTATTAAAACTTTATTCTTCCATTTCTCGAGTACTAATTATAATCAATTTTCTAAACATTCTGAAAAGTTATACTTTAATTTTTCAGGACAGAAATTAATATCAATATAATAACTACACATGAATACAATCATCCATTGTGCTGCTAATCATAGGTAAGATTCATGTATTTTTTTAGTTTTTTTTTTTTTTTTTTGTTAAATGGTTTTTACATAATTATATCTGTTATAAAAATTAGGTAGCAAATAACATAGGACTTTGATTTAAGTTCTAGAATCATGGCTGCTAAAAAGCTTATTTACCCAGCAGCCGATCGCAATAAGGAACCAATACTATCGGTTTTCCGGCAATATATTCAACCCGGTTCGGATCAAATATTTTTGGAAATTGCATCTGGTTCTGGACAACACGTAGCTCATTTTGCTCCCCATTTTCCTCATATTACATTTTATCCTTCAGAATGTGAACTCAGATTGTTAGAAAGTATTGCTGTATATGCAAACGGATTTGCAAATATAAAACATCCTTTAAAGATAGATATTACTACAGATTTTCATACGTGGAGCAATGGAATTTTTAAAAAATCTAGTATTGATTATATATATAATGCAAATATGATGCATATTTCACCATATGAATGTTCCATCGGATTATTTGAAAATGCAGGTAAATTGCTAAAAGACAATGGTTTTATGTTTACATATGGACCTTATGCTATGGATGGGAAAATAACACCAGAAAGTAATGTTAATTTCAATAAATCTTTAAAGTTTCAAGATCCAAGTTGGGGTCTCAGAGATATTAAAGATTTAACAGAATTGGCAGACAAAAATGGTATCAAACTAATAAACATTGTTGACATGCCTGCTAATAATAAAACTATCATATGGAAAAAAATTATCTAATAAAGTTAATTTAATGTGTATAATACTATCTTATTTAGTTTTGAGACTTTTGCTGCCTGGTATATTACAGTTAATGCTATTCAAGTACTGTATTAACTTCAACTATCTTAATTAATATTTTAATACTTAATACCGTTTGTACGAAATAATCCCTGAGTATAATAAATCTATAACAACGCTCTTATTCAAATTTCTGTTCATCCCATACAATTTTCAACAATTAAAAAAGTTTATATTTTCAAGTCCTTCTGGTAAATAATTTAATCCAGATGCATCTTTATGTCTCATATTGTAACCTTGAGCATATCCTGAAATAAAATTCGTTTTAAGTATTACATGCTGTGATTGTATTCTTAATTTAATTAATAGTGTAAAATGGTTACCTAAATTTTTCATGAGTTTTGTTGGAGCATTTCTTAAATGTAAAGGCACTGTTGGCTGAGGTCCTTTATGATCAGCAACTGTTCTTTGAGCAGCTCTAAGTGCATCTTCCATTAATCTAGATTTTGGTGCTCTTGCTAAATATGTTGTACATTGTGCCAAAAGGACATCACATTCGGGCATTCCAATCATTTTACAACCATGCATTGTATGTACAGCAATTCCTAAAAATAATTTCAATATATAGCAAAAACTTATGTTACAAAGAATTGTTATACAAAAATTTGATATTACCTAAAGCTTTTGGATCTTCTAAACCTATATCTTCACATGCCATTCTTACTAATCTTCGTGCAATATAAACGGGGTCTTCACCACCCAGTATCATTCTTGTTAACCAATATAAAGAAGCATTTTCATCACTTGCTCTAACAGATTTATGTAGAGCAGAAATCATGTCATAATGTTGTTCACCTTTCTTATCATATAACATATGAGTCTTCTTAAGACTTTCTTTAATATCATCTAATGTTATTGTTACAGGACCACTTTCTAAGAATTCTTCCTCTTTTGGTACCTTACATTGAATTGCTAATTCAAGACCACCTAAAGCTATTCGTGCGTCACCATCGCATGTTCCTGCCAACCATTCTATAGTTGGTTCATCTATTATGAATTTTGGTATTTGCTCAGAATCTTCTAATTTTTTACTTGAATGAAATACAGACCCCTCTAATGAAGAAACAGCTTTCTTTAATATGGATATTAAATTAAGTATACTCAATTTCTCTAAAACAATAACTCTACAACGACTCAGAAGTGCAGAATTTAAACTGAAGGAAGGATTTTCTGTTGTAGCTCCAATTAATGTAACAATACCGGATTCAACATGAGGTAAAAATACATCTTGTTGTGCTTTATTAAAACGATGTATTTCATCCATAAAAATTACTGTACGTCTGTTAAATTTCAATTCATTAGAAGCTATAGTGATCACTTCTTTCACTTCATTAACACCAGCCATTGCTGCAGATAATTTAACATATCTCATTTTACCATTTGATTTATTTTTACATATGTGAGCTATGACATTTGCCAAAGATGTCTAGAAATGAAATAAAAAAGAAAATAAAAATATCATACATATACCATTATATGTATGACTTTTTAATACCTTTCCACAACCAGGTGGGCCCCATAAAATTATATTTGGAATTTCAGATTTATTTAACAATTGGTAAAGTACAGTAGATGGCCCAAGAATATGTGACTGTCCAACATATCCTGAAAGTGTAGTAGGTCTCATCCGTTCAGCAAGAGGTACATGATCATCTTTACTTTTTTTAACTTGTTTTTCTGGCTATAAAATTTATCAGTGATCATCACTTATCCTAATACCATCATTCTTTGTTTTAACAAATTAAGAATAGTAATTACATTATCCTCAAATGAAGTCTTTGAGATTTGATTATCTGTATTTGTAAAAGATGATTCCATTGAAATACTTTTTCTCTTTAATGATCCTGAATCACCCTGTTTTGTTTTCTTGTTACTCAACTTTATATGTTTTCTACCAAAACTTTCATCCTTGAGAGGAACTGCAGATTCATTGCTCGTTGATTCATTTAAAAACAAACATTTACTAACATGACTTTCTATCACTGCAGAAGAAAATTCTTTTGAACAAATGGGACAAGAAATTATATTGTCATTCATTTTTCAACCTGCAACAAATAACTTAATATCACATATCATTGAAGATTACTTAACATAAAGCATGCTACATCAACAAATCTTGAAATTATTCTAATCCTTTTAAGTTTCAGTGAAACTTACTTTGTAAGTAAAACAACCTGGTAAATAAGATTACCGCGCGATGCGCAGAAAGAATTGTTACAAGGATTTTTAGCGACGGTACCGTTACATTATATGAGTACCGTATAACCTGATGTTCGCTTTTACCAATTCTACATATTACATGTCTTCATCATTTTACCGTAATATTAAATAAACTTTCATTTATCATATATAGTATTAAGTAAGTCGAAGTAGTACGTTCTGAAAGGATAAAATTTTTCTAAACAGGGCGACGTTGTGTCGAAACTATTGTTCAATTGATGACGTGTGGGTCGACGCTAGACATCAAGTAGTAGTTTGGTAACGCTTATCTTGACTTTTTCGAAGAAATACTAATAAAAATAATAAAATATAGTATAAGCGTTACAATAACATTACAATAACGTAACAGTGAACTTATACAATGGAAGTTCGTCGCAGGCGAAGGATTCAAGATAAGCAATCGCAAATACAAAGCGCCAAGTTTGATTACGAACATATTTCTGCCAATTGTATCGAAAGCATTCAACAGGATCAGGTGAAAAATTAATTTATATATCTATTTTCGTCTTATTTAAAATTTGTTTTCATATAGTTATTATGTTAATTGTTTATCTAGCAGAAGGATGGAGAAATTGTTCCACGTTTAAATGAAAAATTTAATACAGTTGAAAAACCAGCAAACACAGTGCCACGAACCCGAATTAAAATAAGTCTTGAAATTGATTTAATTTCAGTTATTTTATTAGTAACCGGAATTATTACCCGGCTTTATCGTTTAGAAGAACCTCGAAGTATAGTGTAAGTTATTTTCTATGTTTATATTTAAAATAAATGATTAATTATAAATATTATTTGGCACAGATTTGATGAGTTACATTATGGAAAATATGTTGGACTTTATATGAAAAGAACGTTTTTTTTCGACTCGCATCCTCCATTAGGAAAGCAAGTTATTTCCGTAGCAGCGTATTTAGCTGGTTTCGATGGACAATTTAAATTTGATAGAATTGGAAGTCCTTATACTGATATTGTTCCTTTGTTTGCATTAAGATTAGTGCCGGCGTTATGCGGTAGTCTTCTACTTCCGACGGCCTATCACTTACTTTTAGAATTAGGTTTGAAGCAATGGACTGCTGCATTAGCAGGAATTTTAATATTATTTGGTAATTTGTTGTATTGTAATTCGAAACAATTAAAAAATTTTAGCAGTATACATATACATATATATATTGTTTAAATCTGATATATTTTTATTAATGTTTCAGACAATGCTCTCTTAACTCAATCTAGATTTATCTTAATGGAAAGTATTCTAATGCAATTTTCATTATTTGGATTAATATGTATCATGAAATTTAGAAAAGTAATGGATCAACCAACAATTTTTTCATGGTGGATATGGCTAATTTTGGGTATTGCCAGCTTAACATGTGCATTATGGTACACTTTAGGACATATCTTTTTTTTGCTAAGTCTATATTATATTGTAAATATAACAAATTTTTATTTTCAGTGTAAAATATGTTGGATTATATTCGCTGATTCTTGCCCTGTCTTTAATTGCTTATGATTATTGGAATCTAATACCAAGAAAAACTTTATCTACCACAGTATTATGTATCTATCTTGTAATAAGATTTGTTGTAATATTTGGTGTTATTTGTAGTGTTTATTTGACTGTATTTTATATACATTTAACAATACTCTCTAAAGCTGGACCACATGATTCTGTAATGACAAGTGCCTTTCAAGCAAGTCTGGATGGTGGTCTTGCTAGTATTACAAAGGGTCAACCTTTAGAAGTTACACATGGGTCACAAATTACTTTAAGACACACATATGGAAGAGCTTGTTGGCTTCACAGTCACAATCATATGTATCCATTAAGATATCCGGATGGTAGAGGTAGTTCTCATCAGCAACAAGTTACATGCTATTCTTTTAAAGATGTAAATAATTGGTGGATTGTAAAGAGGCCAGAAAGAAATGATTTAGTTGTTACAAAACCTAGTGAGTCAATAAAACATGGAGATGTAATACAATTAGTACATGGAATTACAAGTCGGGCATTGAATTCACACGATGTTGCCGCTCCGATGACACCTCAAAGTCAAGAAGTGTCTTGTTACATTGATTATAATGTATCTATGTCTGCTCAAAATCTTTGGAGGGTAGAAATTACTAACAAAGATAGCGCTGGAGATGTCTGGCATGCGATTCAAAGTCAGATACGTTTAATACACGTAAATACGGATTATGCGCTAAAATTTAGTGGAAGACAATTACCTGATTGGGGTTTTAATCAACACGAAGTGGTAGCGGATAGATTCGTGGATCAGACAGATTCTATATGGAATGTTGAAGAACATAGATATACTAAAAGCGAAGATCAAAAACAGAGAGAAAGAGAATTAATCAATGCTGAAATGATTCCATTACAAGCTACCACTTTAAGTTTTTGGGAGAAATTTGTAGAATTGCAGATAAAAATGTTTTTTAGTGGTCAGGAAGGACAAAACAGTCATATGTATTCTAGTGATCCTTTAGATTGGCCTTTGATGTCTAGAGGAATTGCATATTGGGTTTCAAACGACAGTAATGTAAATATAGGTTTACACATATTTATTCAAATTATTTAATTTCTTGATGTTCATTTGTACTAATATATTTCTTTTATAACAGGCTCAAGTACATCTTTTAGGAAACATAGCAATTTGGTATTCTGGAACAGGCTGTGTAATTATATATTCACTTCTATTAATTTTTTATATGTTAAGACGAAGACGAATGTGTTTTGATATTGCACAAGAAGAGTGGAATAAATTTTCTAATGTAGGAAGTATCTTTTTAGCTGGGTACTTATTACATTTTTTACCTTTCATGTTTGTTGAAAGAACCCTCTTTCTTCATCATTATTTACCAGCATTTATTTTTAAAATACTGCTTACAGCAGCAACAATAGAACACTTATACTACTTAATTGGGTATGTTGCAAAATAATTGTGGAGGGTGTCCCACGCGACTGGGTTAAGTTTATTTTTATAACGGTTAAAAACGGGAAAATTTGTATAGAACAAAATTAAACAGTGTTGAGTCAAACCATTTTAGATACGCAACTTATCTCAGTTGCATGAGACACCTTATATATCACTTCTTTTGTAAAATAAGTGGATAAAAATTAATTTAATTTTTTGCAATTTTCAGAACTCGATGTCAAAATAATTGTTTAATGTACATATTAAAATGTGGTACCCTTATATGGCTACTTTTCGTTATTTATGTGTTTAAAAAATTTACAGTATTCAGTTATGGAACAACACATTTAAGCGCCAAGGAAGTTTTAAAGTTAAGGTGGAGAGATACATGGGACTTTATTATACATAAAACATAAGAAAAAATTAAATACTCAGAAATAATCATACAACATTATCTACTTATAGTAAAATTTATTTTACGTGTTAATTGTGCGCATACGAGTTGATATTATAATGCACAAATGTTAATAGATAGTATAAACTTATTGTTTATATGAGTGAGGTACAAGTATAATTAATATAGATTTATTATTTTTTTATGCTACATAAAATATGCAACTACATAGACTGATTACATTTTATGAAGGTTTTTATTATATGCATTTATACATCTAACGAACAAAACTAAGCATAAAACTTGTTATCATCATAGTTATACATATATTAATTTATAACATAAATTTACATGTATTAAAAATTTATATTTTTAAAACAAAATATATATATATATATATGTATGTATATTAAAATATTTTTTATGACTTGAAACTATAATCCGTATGCATAAAAAAAATAGTTTTTGTTCTTCTTTAAGAGAACGGAAATGAATAATTTATAATGAAAGTAATAGAGGAAGAAACAAAATTAGTATACAAGTTTTGATACAAATATTTAAGTGATAAAAGTTCAGTTTTTGTTTGCATAATAAATGTTAATATTTTTACATAGGCTAAAAAACTTGTTTTGTATAAATTTAACTTTTATTATAATCAAAACGAATGAGCACTTTTTTACAATTTACAATTTTTGGTTTAAAAATGTTATAATGAGGATGATAGCACCGACAAAGTTTGACAAATAACATAATGAACTAAAAATGAAACATACAGCAGAATACAAAAACTGCTGCTTTATTACATATTTTTAATTCTTTTTCTTTTTAGCCAATTTTATTGTTATTATTATGTACCCAAACAGTGGTATGTAAAAACTATAGATCGGATAAGACCGTCTCGTACACTATCTGCGCTATTTCCAACTCCAAACGAGAAAAATACAGAATCACAGGCCATACTTTGAGTACAGACTCCCATTGGATACCAACCAACTTTATTAAAAACTACTCCAACTCTATAAACCTATATTGAACAAAAAAAAAAGTACAAATAATTTTAATAACCATTCGGTTATTTGTATCCTTTAATTTAAAAGAATTATCAAAATATGTACCTTATTCTTTTGAATATAAACAGGTCGATTAAATGTAATTTCTACCAGAGTATTAATATTTACTTTTGTTGTAAAGTGCGTATAAGTTAATCGAGTATCATCAGAGTCAAGAAGATGAGCATATAAAATTTCCGTGTATGACGTATCAAGAATATGATTCATATTATTAGTCTGTAATAAAAATAACACAACAATTAATAAGAAGTAAAATTTAATTATGTTTGATAATATATGTTTAACTTACTACACTAGCAATTTGTGTAGGTACTTGGACACCTAACACACAAATATTCTTATCTACGCTAAAAGTTACAGAACAGTCTAATACATTTGTATTAAGACAATCAGTTTGCTGAAGCAATGATCTTAAACAATAATATTTAGGTCCCTCCCGAATGCCCCCTTCGATTACAACTGGAGATGAATTGTTTACAGATAAATTTAAAGCATCTTTTCTTATTCCACTTTCAATTACTGTTGGAGGTTTACTTTGTAAGGTGTAAGGTGTACTACTAGATTCAGATGAAGACCAATAGACTGGTATGTATGAACCGCTAGAGTGTGGAGTAGAAATTCGTCTATACTTCTAAAAAATGAAAAAAATTTCATAAAACAGTTAAGGAAAATGCAAAACTTATACAATATTTTAACAACTTACAAACAAATCTATATTTGAATTTTGAACTTTCACTGGTTTGGCTCTACTATGAGCATTAGTAGAAAATCCTTCAGGCATAGGTGCTTTATTTCCAGTACATAATATATTCATAAGAATAGCAAAAGCTTCTTGTTGAGTAAGTAATGGAGACATTCCTGGGCCTTCTGCAAATTCTTGGGGGCTTAAATTCAAAAATCTAATTTTTGATAAAGCATTTCCAATTACAGATTTTAAAAACTTCCCATCACTTGGATCAAGAGATTTTCTTGCACATTCAGCTTTGGCCCACTGCTCTAGAGCAGTGAACAATTCAATCTCAGAATTTATTTGCAAATCATCTTGATCTAACACTGTTAATAATGTTGCTAATTCAACTTCTTCCCAGCTAGATTCTTTCAAAACTTCATTTGTTTTTGAGCAAATAATTAAGAGACATTTCTCCATCAGCACAGGTTCTTCGAACAATTTAGCAAATTCATACGCTCTGCAAGCCTTTTTTGGAGATAAATCAGACCACAAATATTTTGTACATTCTTCTACCAATGAAGGAAGCATGTACTTTTTGGCACAATAACATAATTCACAAGCTAATTCAAAAGAACCTAAATCAACACGGTCTGTATATATATATTCTAAAAGAGCTTTAAAAGCTTCAGGTTGAACATCTCGAATAGCAATTGGATCATTCTTTTCTGCCATCCCCCCAAAAAACATAGCTTCAAAGACAGGACTGGACATAGCCAGAAACAATTTATGACCCTTTAATGTTTGTTGATGTGGTTCTTGGCCAACTATAAATTTGCAATCAGACCATTGTCCTGTTTCCAACAGATATTGACCACGTTCTGAGATTTTTTGTTTATTGATTTGCCAATCGCAAGGCAGACCCATTTCCACAGAATATGGGATAAGATTTATTGAAGCTTATACAATTATATGTTGTCTAACACTGCAATAATGATAACAACGAATAGAAAACATAAGTCTCAAATAATGAAAGTTGTGTCAAAAAAAAGATGTACCAGAACGTATTGTAAAAAAAAAGAAATCTAAATGCTGTAACAGAAATACTCTGACACATTCAACGTAGCCACCATACTTACATATCTTTTTGCGATACGTATTATCGCTATAAATACAAAATATGACATAAACGATGCCAAAAAAAATATCCGTAGAACAGTTCAATAAACATCAAAATACGCGCGGGAAAACTAAGGATTTTTCCATATTACAGGATTGTATAATGCACCATACGTGTTTAAATAGTTTAATTTATTCACAATTATAATTCTAAAAGCAATTTTAGCATTAATTAAAGAAATTTTGAACTACAAACGGTCTTCACATTTGCAAAAACCCGTATCTCTCTTAGTTGCATGAAATGCTACGCCATCTTAGTTATTCTCATACTTCATTACATCGTTTTTCCGAAGTCGTTGATACTCCATCTCAATAACTTTCAACGTAGTTTTTCGTAGTATGGTGAACTTTATGAGTTTTATTCGATTTAAATAAATATATATGAATGATAGAAAGGTGATCTTTATGTTGTCAATTTGCAAACAACGAACATTCAAATGGTGTCGGGTACAGTGCAAATAACCAAAATATTTGTTCGAAGATGCTACTATATTTTTAAATCGCATAATGTGATAGTTTACATTTTGGAATAGATGTTAGTTTTTTCAGACAAGGGCTGAGGATTTTCTTTTTATTATCGTGGGTATTTCGAAAAATGTACTGAACCATTTTAAGTTTTGCGCGAGTCTTTCATTGGTTTTGATGACCGTTGTGATTTTTCCTAATGGCGCATGCACGGCTCAGCTGTGTGCAATCGCGACCAATGTACGTAGAAAAATAATGTATTTTATAGTATTTTTATTCAATTAAACGGAGTACTGGACACAGTGTTCGTGATATTAGGTACGTTAAAATGACTTCTCTTGTGACATTAATTAACTGATGATCGAAAATACGGGATATGTAAGGAATCTTTTGTGACGGGTCAGAAGCACCTGCATGGGATCCACCTTAGTTTTATAAGTTTGCTGACAGACTTCTTCGACTTGTCAGTTTATGAATTTTTTACATTTTATTTGAATAGGAAAATGCAGACAATAAATTTACACTCTCTTAGTAGTTTCTGCAACTTGAATCCTTTCTAAAAAAAATTCATTTCCACAAAAATTTGCAAGATGTACTGGTAAAATTTTGTTTGTGTCTTGATAGTAGTATCTGAGATGGAGGCTATTTGATTATCTTTTTAAAGACCTCTACTTTTAAAGTAGTTTAATATTTATTTTTTAAACTAATTTAACAAGCATGGTCTATTCATGATTTTTTTTCTATGCCTAAATCATGTTGAGTCATCATATATTGTATACTTCCTTGTTTTTTAAAAAAATATTTTAAAATACAACCTGGATTTTATTTGATTTGTTGAGTTTTTCAAAAAGCTTAAGCAAAGATGATAATTTTATTAAATTTTCACTTTGACTTTTTATGCATGTAGTATTGATTTCTTTATTTTTTATGTTTTAACTTTTGTTCTATTATTTGTAACTGTAAAATAATACGAACATATTGTGTGAAATAGTAGTTAAAATACTTTAACTTTAATAGTAATTATATCTCTGTTAATTAAAAACTTAACATTAATGGATTAGTTTTAATGATTAATATAAAGCAAGAAGTTAGTCTTTATAAAGCAATACAAAGTAGTTGTTTTATGCTATATTTTCCAAATAATACCTTTTTGATTTTTAAATGTTTATTAATACAATTAAAACTTTTGTATTATTTTAGGAAACATGGATTGTCCATCCAGTATCGCAACAGTGCATAAATTGTACCTGTATTGCATGTAGCCTTTCATTTTGCATTGTTTTTGATGCACCAAAAAGGATATTACATTTTTGAGAAAAGCTATTCTTAGCCATTTAATAGAAAAAAATGGATGGGGTACGTGATGAGGACAGGCGCAGGCGCCTGAGGGTATTGGAGGAACGTATAAAAGATCCGAGAAGCATTACAAATATTGATTGCCTTTTGGATACCGTTCAAGCCCTGGTGGCAGATTGTGATCATCCCAGTGTAAAGCGTATGAAAAATATAGAAGCATATATGAACAGATGTAAGTAATAATATCTAATATGTATAATTATAAAATGTGTACTTAAAAAAAAAGTTCAATTTTGTTTGTAAAACCAAGAACTACTATTGTAAAGAATAGCATGTAAGGATATAAACATATGTGTATACTAATTTTATAAAAATAAAAATTAGAGAATGCTATGTATACTTCCAGATGATTCGGTAGCTCAGGATATTTGTAAAATGCGAATGCGTACGGATGACTTCACTTTGATAAAAGTGATAGGTCGCGGAGCATTCGGTGAGGTACAGTTGGTACGGCATAAATCTACGCAAAAAGTATATGCTATGAAATTATTGAGTAAATTTGAAATGGTAAGAAATTTATAAGTTATGCTACAAGTATACATCAATTATAGAATTTTCTCTATATTTCTACATTTTTATACAGATTAAACGATCAGATTCAGCTTTTTTCTGGGAAGAACGTGATATAATGGCACATGCTAATTCCCAATGGATAGTTCAGCTTCATTTCGCGTTTCAAGATCACAAATATCTTTATATGGTGATGGATTATATGCCGGGCGGTGATTTAGTAAACTTAATGTCAAACTATGATGTGCCAGAGAAATGGGCGAAATTTTATTGTGCGGAAGTGGTGCTCGCATTGGATGCAATACACCTTATGGGATTTGTTCATCGGGACGTAAAGCCAGATAACATGTTACTTGATAAACATGGCCACTTAAAACTTGCAGATTTTGGCACTTGTATGAGAATGGATATCGTACGTATAATTGTTACATCAAATTCTGTCAAGTTTATACAGCAAAATGTTATATAGAGACATTTAATTATTATACATGTATCTATCTTTTAGGATGGACTCGTTCGATCTGATACCGCAGTAGGTACACCTGATTATATATCACCTGAAGTACTCCAATCCCAAGGTGGTGAAGGTGTATATGGAAGAGAGTGTGATTGGTGGTCAGTAGGAGTGTTTTTGTACGAAATGCTTGTTGGTGACACGCCTTTTTATGCAGATTCATTAGTTGGGACATATTCGAAAATTATGGATCACAGAAACTCGTTACACTTTCCTCCAGAAGTTGATATTTCTCACTCGGCTAAGAATTTAATATGCGGCTTTCTTACTGATAGAACAAAACGTTTAGGAAGAAATGGGGTAGAGGAAATAAAAAATCACCCATTCTTTAAAAATGATCAATGGACGTTTGACAATTTACGAGAGTGTGTGCCACCAGTAGTACCAGAACTTTCTGGTGATGATGATACTAGTAATTTTGATGATGTTGATAAAGAGGATGGTCCAGAGGAAAGTTTTCCAGTTCCGAAAGCATTTTCTGGAAATCATCTGCCTTTTATTGGTTTTACATATTCAGGAGACTATCAGTTAATGGCCTTTACTGGTAAAGAATCGGTAGATGGATTAGAAAATCATATCAATAACGGTACGAGCGATGATGTTAAAATTTCGCAGTTAGAAAATTTATTGGATAAAGAGAGAAGACAAGTAGAATCCTTGGAATCACGACAGAAAGCTTTGACAACGCAGTTAGAAGCTATGACGCGTCGTGAAACTGAATTACGCGAAGAAATAGGCAGAGCGGATAAGGAATTGACTTTGTTGAGACACAATTATAAAGAAGCACAACGCAGGGTAGAGCATGAAACGGAAACGCGTAGAAAAGCAGAATCGTTATTCGTTGAATTAAAAAAGAAATTTGATGAAGAGCAGACGAAAAGAGCGCGCGATGCGAGTAATTCACAGCAAACATCCGAACGTGTTACATCGTTAGAAAAACAAATTAAGGAGATGCAATCAAAATTGGAAAGGGAAACCGAAACTGTAACGAGGTTGCGGAAACAAGCCACAGAGATTACTGTTGTTCGTCAAGCGGCAGAACAAATGGCAAATGAATTACAAGTGGCAAGAGCTCAGTTACAAGCGCAACGTGATAACTTGCAACAAGAAGTGGCAACGCTACAAGTAAGTATGGATATTTCACAAAACAAAAACAAAAAAAAAAGATGTGACTGCTAAGTTTTGTGTTTTGGTACGTATTATTCCTAGGGACAACTGTCGAAAGAGAGGAGTTCTCGATCACAAGCCTCATCGTTAACCGCCGAATTAGAAAGTCGTCTTTCTGCTCTTCATCTTGAACTTGAACATAGTCGCGAAAAAGAGGAAAAAGCACTTATGGATAACCGGCAATTAACCGAAAGAATTTCAGCGTTAGAAAAAGAAGCTGCTAGTTTGACTCTTGAATTGAAAGCCGCGCAAGCGAGGTATAATCAAGAAGTGGTTGCTCATCAAGAAACGGAACGTTCACGCATATTATCCAAAGAAGAAGCTAACTTAGAGGTTGTTAAAGGTAATTTTATTCAATTTTACATTCAATAATTCTAATGCTATTCCTTGGAAAGTTATATATTTTGATTCTGATACGCATATCAGGGTGAAAAAACAAAATATTTGAAGGTGATGTAGACTAGCTTCCATAAATACCTACACATTATAGTACGTTTTAAATATATTTATTTCAAGTTATTTATATCAGTATCATTACGATTAAATTCTTTTAAATAAAATAATCTGTGTCGTGATATTATACATATATTAGATGGGTATACTAATTAATTAAGTGCTATTTTAAATTTTCCCGTGCTATCCGAATAATTAAAGTTACTATGATTTTTTTTAAATAAATAAGAAATCGTTAAAGAAGGAAAAGCACTGAATTAATATGTACACTTAATTCGTATATTTGATCAGCTAATGTATAGCGTGCATGTTAACAAGACTTTGATTTTCAAAATTGTGTTGCATTCATGTACGTGCGTACTATGTAATTGAAACATATTTAATTGTTTCCTTTTTTAAATTTATTTTATTACTAATCGTAATTTTTCAAATTTCCGGCTGCTCATCATTAATGGTATTTCTGTATACGTACGTACATTATTGTATTTTAATTTGTTATCATCAACTGTGAAACCGTAAATAATTATACTTTTTTGTTAATGTGATATTAACAGCATTACAAGCAAAACTAAACGAAGAGAAAAGTGGAAGACAACGCGCCGAATTGCTTGCACAAGAAAAGGAAAGGCAAACCTCTATGCTTTCTGTGGATTACCGTCAAATACAGCAACGTTTACAGAAATTGGAGGGTGAGCACAGGCAAGAAGTGGAAAAGGTAAAGGTGCTACAGGGTCAGGTTGAGCAGGAACAGCAGAAAAGAAACGTGCTACAAACGGATCTGGCGCAGCAATCATCAGAAGCAGGACGATTACGTGCTAGGGAACAACAGTTAGTTGGTGAAGTTGCTCAGCTAAGGGAAGCAAAACGACAGATAGAGGAAGAATTGCATCATTTGAAAACTCAAAGAAACGTGGATCAGTTACAGACAAAGGAATTACAGGAACAGTTGGAAGCAGAAGCTTACTTCTCGGTATGTTTACAATTTAAATCCGTGCTATTCATTTTCTGCGATATTCTAGCAATAAATGGTTATTTTGTTGTTTTTGTTAGACTCTTTACAAAACACAGACACAAGAACTTCGAGAAGAACTGGACGAGAAAATACGATTACAACAAGAATTAGAAGAAGAACGTGCTTCTTTAGTGCACCAGTTGCAATTGTCTTTAGCTAGAGGAGACAGTGAAGCTTTAGCAAGATCAATAGCTGAAGAAACTGTGGCAGATCTTGAGAAAGAACGAACGATGAAGGAATTAGAGTACAAAGATGGCGTAGCGAAACATCATCAAGAATTAAATTCAAAAGAACAGATTATAAATCGGCTTAAAGATAACGAAAATGAACTTAAGAAAAGCGTTGATCAGTATCTTAAAGAGAAGGATGATTTCGGTAAACGATTGAAAGAATTGCAAGACCAACTTACTAAAGCACAATCTAATGGAGAAGAAATAGAAAAGCTCAGTAGTAAATTGAAAACTGAACAGTTACTCAAACAACAAGCAGTTAATAAGTTGGCAGAGATAATGAATAGGAAAGATTTATCTTCAAGCGGTAAAACGAAGAACAAAGCATCTGCTGCAGATCTAAGGAAGAAGGAAAAAGATTGTAGACGTTTGCAACAGGAGCTTACTCAAGAGAGAGAAAAGTATGGACAGTTGGCAGCTAAGTGGCAAAAAGACTTGCAAGATTTACAGGTGAATAAAATAATATATAATTCATTTTTTTTTTTCTTTTTAGTATCTGTATACTTAGCGTTATTCTATTCTTATAGGCCCAATTAGTGGAAGAAAACCAAGCAAAATTGAGATTACAAATGGAACTTGATTCAAAGGATTCAGAGATAGAAACATTACAAATGAAAATCGCCTCACTTAACTCGGAAACTGCTAGCGTTTCATCAGTAGAGAATGACGGAGAAGATTCTGTCCTATCAGAGCATGGTACCATGAGATTGGAAGGTTGGTTGAATGTGCCAAACAAGCAGAACATTAAAAGGCATGGATGGAAGAAGCAATATGTTGTCGTTTCATCGAAGAAGATAATATTTTATAATAGTGAGAACGATAAGCTAAATGCGGATCCAGTTTTGATACTGGATCTAAATAAAGTCTTCCACGTTAGATCTGTTACTCAGGGTGACGTTATCCGAGCTGATGCCAAAGATATTCCGAGAATTTTCCAGGTAAATTATACATTTCGTAGTAATGATTTTACTTATCGAATAAGTGGTTATATATTTATTATCTTGTTTATAGTTATTGTACGCTGGTGAAGGCGAAGCAAGACGTCCTGGCGATGAGGGGAATACACTGCCTGGAGTAGAACTGCCACAACTTACGGATAAGCCAGGCACGCAATCGTTAAAGGGCCATGAATTTGTGTCAATTTCGTATCATATGCCGACTACTTGTGAGGTATGCTCGAAACAATTGTGGCACATGTTTCGACCACCACCCGCTCTTGAGTGTCGACGTAAGTATGAAAAGCAGAATAAATATCTCTTTCATTAATAATTTTCTCGCAACGACGAGAGTTGTGTTTGCTTAACTATTGTGAACTTAGCTTCATATTACAGCAATTACGCAAGTAAATAGATAAGTTCAGAATTTTAAATGAGTTAAGAATCATTTACTTAATGTTACAACTTATTAAGTTTTATGATTTATACAGGATGTCGTATAAAGGTACACAAGGAGCATTTGGATAAGAAAGAGGATGCCATAGCACCGTGCAAATTGCATTACGATCCAAACAGTGCCCGTGAATTATTAATATTGGCTGGTAGTACTGATGAACAGAAATACTGGGTCGCAAGACTGTCGAGGCGTGTACAAAAATGTGGCTACAAGGCGAATTCGCATGTCGACGGCACGGGGCAGCGTGTCTCGCCAAGGTAGCGTAGCCGTGCGACTCAACGTAACCGGAGACTAAGTAGCTCTCTTGTATTGTGGCATCGCATGATTGGGTGTAGCGAGGTTAGAGTCGTTTGATTTTTCTTGCACCCCACGATTTCATATAAAATTGTTACCCTATTCTCTATTCAACAATTAGAACACAAGAAAAAAACATGACACTAACGATAAACGATAAAAGTTCAGTAAGTTGCATTTTACTCATAGAAATCAAAGATGAGCACGGATTATTATCTATTATTGTTTAAATTGCCTTACATTTATTTATTATTTTTTATTAAATATGGAATGATAAGAACGTTTAGGTAAGTTTGCACGGATATGCTGTTTAATATTTGCATATCTTTCTAATTTTTTCTCTATCGAATATACAGAGATTTTAAAGTAAGCAAAATCATTTTCTATGAAAAATTACACTACATGATTTGATTTCGCACAGATTCACTTAGCACGATTAAAGATTACAACAAATTTGACAAAATCAACAGCATCAGAGAAGAATTTACATAGCTTCTTATTGTGTGTATTTGTTCTTTCCAAAAAATTGCATGTTAACCCAATAAGAAAAATAGTATGATGAGCGATAAATTCTCTTTTTCATATCGTGCACGGCAAAAGTCAGATATCATAGCAACAAAATATCACTTCCAGGGATTACTTTTAACTGTAAGAAAAATATGAAATAATTATTTGATCATTATTAAAACCTTGATGGTCATAATTTTTTATTTTTATTTTCAAGTTGAATTTAAAAACTTCTGTGTATGCCCTACAATTATTAATTTTTAAATTGTAAGTAACGTGTGATATGATAGATAGAAATAAGGTAAAAAATTATGATGTGGAAAACTATATATTAAAATGTTAAGAGTAAACCCTGTAATTGTAAACAGAAATCAACAATAATCACCACCAGATTATGCTTTTCTCTTATTTATACCAAAGTGGGGCTTTCACAACTATTTCTACCATATTATTTAGACGAAAACCGCTACTCTGCTTTTGAAGCTTTTTTTCTTTTCTTTTTTTTTTTTTGTCGTACATTAGTTCATATATTTGATGTGTCTAGATAAACATAAAATAAAGGTTCAACTTTCATCAATAACAATTTCCACGTTTCAGGGAATCCACGAGATCCACCTTGAAGCCATATTTATCGGTGCAACAACGATCCGCGACCCTGCCAGCGAACGCCAGCATGGGCAAGTGACCATAGCTAGCACCGACGACACTTGATTGGAATTCGTTGCTTCGACGTCCTTCCTAATCGATCGATTAAACGAATAAATTTGATCAGTTTGCTTTCCTCGTTTGAGATTCAAACGCGTAGACAGACGTTCCTCGGTGTCACCGGTGTTACCATTAAACCGGTCAATCTGGAGGAGTTCACAAGTATCCAATTTGTGTACTTGAACGCATCGTTACCAACTTCCTTATGAGTGGAAGAAAATTCTGGTAAACGGAGACACCATATAACTTGTGTCACCCGTTGATCACAAGTTGCCCGTTAATCGTAATTCAGCAGTCTTCGATATTTGTACAGACGACGAAGAAAGAAGGTTGAACGATCCGGAGAGATGTTATTGAAAATAAGGCTGAACGGTGTTTCTCAAATGCCATGGAACGAGGGAAACGTTCAAAAAGGGGCGATGAAATGAACAGAAGCATGTTGCAGCTGTAATTTACAAGGGAAATCGTTGATAGTGTTTAAAGAAAAAAAAAAAAAAGAAAAAAAAAAGCGTACATAGACAAGACGTAGTAAATTAAGTACGTGGACCGTGTTCCTTGCCGGACTGCATCGTGCTCGATGAGCAGACGAGTTTGCGGTAGTATTTCCCAGGGCCAACATGCGTTGTTTTATAAATGCTTTATCACGCACGGACGAACGGATCCAGTATTTGTGGTGATTCTTTTTTTTCTCAATTCTTCGTAGACATTTAAACTCGAAAAGTGATTTCATTGTACATATACAATTGCTACAATTCGTGAGAACTATTTTTTCAATTGATTTAACGGGAAACTCGTTTGTAAATTTACGCGGCACGTGGAGGGAAACGTACACTGTGAGATTTGCTCGCGTTATGTATGTTTTCATCTATTCCTTGACGAGTGTTTAATTTTTTTCGATCAAAAGCATAGTTAAACATTTTTAGTTATATACATTGAAGTAAGTAGGTAAAGGTCAGGGTGGGTCTACTGCCAGAAATTATTGTAATAAGTGATAAAACATTCGTTAGGTCGTGAAATTTCATTTTAATGGAAATAAATATTTGAGTTGAAATGCAGCTCATACGAAACGTGTTCTTATTACGTGCATTTACGAATAAAAATTATATTAGAATTAAGTAATAGTAGGTAAATTTGACCTATACTAGACAATTATCCTAGTTGCGTCAATGATTATATAATAGACTTTTGTATAGCTTGTCATATGACCGAAAAGAATTAAACACGTTTGCTTCGAGGACCCGTTAATATCATCGTGTATTTACCACGCCAGATCGATAGTATTATTATTTTTATATGTTCCGAGATTAAAGTGTATCGGTATTTAATGAGTATTGCGTTAAGAGAAGAATCAGGCCGCGTGTAGAAGAACACGTATTAGCTAGTGCAGTTGCCAAAGTTTCTCTTTCAGTAATGGGATACGTGTTATCGCTTCTATTAGACCTTGGCAATTGCATCGATCGGGGTAAATTAAAGTATTTTATCACCGATCGCTATTAGGAAACATATTACTGTTCAAATTTTGAAATTAACTAATTCCCGGCGTTTCTTGAATTTTTAATTCGTCCGTACGAAGAAATTTTTAAATAATGAGTTTCATAACTTGTGGGGCCCACTATAGCGATGGATGGAGAACAAGAGAACAATGATAAAAGTTTTTATAAAACTATGTTATACTTAATCTTGTTTTAACAACTCATTATCCTATAAACTTTGAATGTTTTCTCATCACATAGACGTTTATAAATATTCATTCAATCAAGTTTATATGTACTTTTCTCTTGACGTTCTCTATTCATCGTTCAAGTGAGCTCCATAGATTATGAAACACTTTGTAGACCCTTTTTTTGCATCATACTTTTTGACATTAGAACCTTCATTTTTTTTAAAGTATAAACTTCTTTTTATAATTTGCATATTCAATGATTTTCAACGCTTACTGAAGGATTCGAGGAACGCTTTGTACAGTCGCGTGCATTGAAGGCTTCTTCCAGTAAGGAGAAAGACCACTTCCCTTCTGAAGGATATTTTCACTGCCTTCATGTTTAAGGAAAAAAAAAAGAAATGAGGGTCATCATTGCACGCGATCGTAAATCCTTGTTCCCATTGCCATTGTATTCGTACGAATACGATATGGAAAGTATATTCTAAATCATTCTAAAACGAGAGCACAACGGTGAAATATTAAGGAACAGCGCCACGAACGAGCTTGATTGTATAGTAGAGTAATATTTACAGTTGTAAACGTAAAAACATTTTTTAACACGCGTGTTTATCCGCAGAGAAATGTTTAGGAATTTTATTAGCTGGTGCCTACGGAATCATTCGCAGATCGAAGTTGGCATCTGTGAGAGAAAACGTGTAACGAATTAAAACGCAAGAGAACTCCTTTATTATTATTATTACTATTATTATTATTATTAATATTATTATTATTAATATTTTTAATGATCGTCGCCGTTTGTGTTCTTTCCATGGTACCTCAGCGACGTGTCACCGTTGCCTTGGGACGGGCGGAAAACAGAAATTCCTCGTCAATATTTTGATGATTCTGTTAATTAGTTTCACCTGTTCATAGGTTGCTACCTTTGAGATGTCCTTCTAAATGGTGCTCCCACTCCGCCCCTGCCACCTCATTTTCCTTTGGTTCCTGACGAAGAGGAGCTTCCCGGAAACTAAAGGGAAACGTACGGTCACTCATTGGTTTTAATAGGGGTGTGCGAGATTCCGAACTTCTGTCTCCTTCTGAAGTTCATATCCTCGATACGGGATGATTCGCGCACCTCTAGTTTTTTGTTTTATTTTAAATAAGCTGCGAAAGCGATAGATGTACGGAATCGATGATCAAAATAGGAACGCCACATTTTTGACTAATTGCCCTGTGCCTTCTTCCCCGTTCTGGCTTCACCGTGGGACATTTTTTTTTTTTTTTTTTTTGTTTTTTATTTCTGCGGCGAGCTGGATGAAACGTTGTGTATGAATTTCGATAACTCGAGATACGAAAGAAACAGAAGCAAGACGAAGCGGAAGAAACTTGTTACAGCATATTTTATTATTATTGTTTAGTTATTTACAATCTGTATATTATTAATTAATGATAATACGATTAAAGTATTTTGTAGATAACACGCGAGTCTATGGAACGTTTCCACCATCGATGAACACGATGAATTTTAATGCGGTTAAATCGTCGGATAGAAAAGGTAGATCTTTTTCATTATCGTTTAATCTCTTTTGTCCGACGACTTTTTTCCTTTCTAGACTGATGATATTTTTTTTTTTTCTTTTTCTTTTGAATCTCGTCTCGTAATTTATTATTACAATAGTAAGAGACAAATGCATAATACGGAGCGAAATTGATTGCCATTCTGGTTTTTCTCTTGTTTGGTTGTACATAAGCGTCCATCTTTAATAACCCTTTACAGATTATTATAGAAGTACAAATCGCCTTTGAACGATGATTCTAATGAAATGTTTATATAACGTAGACAGTTTAGAATATATTAAGTATCTAGCAGATACTGAATTCTGTGAATATTTCATCCTTCTTGTTTTTTTTGGTTTTCTTTTCTTATTTTTCCTTTTTTTCTTTAAGTAATTGATTTATATAGTACAAAAGAATATTCTTTGTATGATTTATATTTTTCTACAATTTAAATCTATATGATTTAATCTTGTCTGTAATCAAACTTTTAAGATAAAGTGTTTTTTGCAACGATGAAATGTTTTGCAGTCCAATCTCTTCTCTTAAATATAAAAATAAGCGATTGACGTCGGGCATGATTTTTATAATAAACTTGATAAAACGTTTCTGATTACTTAAGTATGGATTTTTTTTTTTTTAGTGTAAATTTTCTCGTAAAATTTTGAATGTAATTTTCGTGCTTGTTTTTTCGTTGATGTTGTTTCAGCTTTCAGAGATACCCGGTCTCTAATTAGAACGCGATCAGTAGTTAATTAGCGATTCATGCTCGTTTACAATACGTCAATGAAGCGAGGTGATGTCTCGAATTAATGAAAGGGTCCTCTCTCCACAGCAGGTCAACAACCTTTTAATTATTTCCCGAGGATCGATAGTCTAATCACCTATCTTTCTTTCTGCTAAGTACTGTAACATGCATGCAGAAGTGCTTGGTGTCACAGGTGATTAGACAAATTATCAAAAATATTAAAAATTTATTTCAAACTATTGGTGTAGGTAATTTTAGTGCTATTCAAATTTTCAAGCTAGATTTGGTTGGAGGACCCCTCACCCTTAGAAACACAAGGGTTAATTAAATTTTTAGTAAGGAAAAAATGATAGGTAAATCATAGTATTGAAGGGATAAATAATATTGGTGTAATTTCCGGAGATCAAACGTTCTGTTGTTTATTTGTCATTATTTGTTCTTATAATAAGTTCGTATCGCTGTTTAAATGATTTCACGCAAAATGGTAGCGCAATGGCGAAATCAAAGGATTTCGAAATTTCCTAGATACACATTTCGCATCGTCTTTAATAAATCCACCTTATCTGGTGTCAAATCCTTAAGTATGAATACATGAAAATCAGTACGTGAATAGTTTTATGCAAAATTCGGGTAATCCGTTTTTTTTTTTTCTTTTTCAAGTAGACGATTAATATACTTTTGATTACGTTTTTTTTCTTTCGCTAAATCTAATCGTAAATTGTTTCAACGGGCGGTCGATGAGGAAGCCTTGCTTCGATTTGTATGCAATAATTAATCCTTTGTTTCTATTCGAGGACATTTTTATGGTTAGTTCGTGAGATTTATTTTTCTTTTCTTCGCCTAATTGATCGTCTTCATACTCGACCATTTTGGGTGGATATGTAACGCGTTCTTCGTTCTCTTTTTTCCTGATTATTTTTCCTGATTGGATCGCAAGTGTACACTATAATTATATTCAGAGTACGATCGTTCTAAATTTTATTTCAATTTTTATACTTTTGTAAATATTGGGTCATTAAGTATGAAACTCGACAAACTGTAAATAAACTTTTTAGTCAGTAGAAATAATTTATTATCAATCGCCAATGACTTTACTGGCGACGCGGTTCTAAATCGACAAATTGTAAAACGAGTTTTATATTTATTTGCCCAGTATATCGGACTATTAATTTTGCTGTATCATGTAAAATTAATTAATCGCTAATGTCTTCATTTGCGACGCGATTCTAAAGCAAAAATTTATAAAACGAATCGAAAAAAAAGACACCCCTGCTCCTGACTGTCCTCCGCGCGAGGCAAGTGGCTTTATTAGGTGCATTTATTAGTTTAGGTGGAGAAGAACGTCTTCGACTGCAGAGAACAAAGAACTAGTTCCATAGCGAGGGAGGCTTTGTCAACCTATTCGCTTATTTATAACATGGAGAAAAGATTTGTCTACTGTTTGTAACGCTATCATATAAAGGCGATACACTTGGGAAACGCATGCATGCATGGCCACGAGCGAAGAAAACTAGCTGTACAGGGCGTCTCAAAAGAGATGTGTATACCATAAAAGTTGCAAATTTTCGAAAAGTAATCGACAAACTCTTCATTATTTGCAATACGAATCTTCTAGAGATATTAGCGATTACAAATTCAATGATTTATTTTGGAAATAACGTAATCCTTTGGTTGCCGAGTGCATATTCATGTTTGAAGAACTGTACATTCAGAAAATTTCAGACTGCATAATAATACAAGATTTTTTCAATTCGCTTTGCAACATTCATGGTGTGTATCCCTTTTGAGACACCCTGTACAGATAGGAACATCGTCCGTACGATCAGGATAACAAGGTAGGGAACTTGCTCGTTGCTACTTGATCGGCTACGTGTGTGCACGTATACGTATTACTCTACTTACAGTTGATAACGAGAAAGCTGTAAAAACATTTGGAAATTCTGGAGACCGCTTCCTCCTTTGTAAACAATATGCCGAAGGTAGGAGAGCTGGTGATCTATGGTACGTATCTTTGAACCCTCGTTCGGATGAAGAAACGATGGTGTGACTATTCAGTTATTATAGTCTCTCCATTTAGAAGAGCTATTTTTATATAATATTTTCGTTTCGAAGAGGACTTTGTCGCAACAGTTCAGAGCATTGACGTCAGGATTTATTGTTGTTTCAGATCCAGGAGTTTCAAGATATCTACTAGGGTGCTCTGTGCTCGAGCATCCTTTAATTTCCGACGAGACCACGCAGTCTCGTGGCGAGGCATTATTTTCTTACCAACGAGACGAAACCACGGTGCGTCAGTTTCGGCTTCAACGTAGATTTGTTCGGAGCGGTGCTTGTTTGCTGATGACTTCTGCTCGCCGTCTGCTGTTCCCTCGCGTTCTGCTTCTTCTTCAACGACTCCTGCTTGGCACCTCTGTTCATGTGAACGCAGCAGAAGCTGTTTATTAGCGCGACAGGCCGGAAAATATAACGTTTGTCATAGTTTGCCCGGAAGACGTTAGTGTTGGTTGATAAAAGGGAGAGCTGTGAATTGGCTATGAAAGAAAAATCTACATACAAGCTAATTTTGCAAGGTATATAAACATAATTTCGCAAACAAAGCAGCTTAAAAGGTGAAATAAAAAGGAAAAATGTGGTTGCTCGAGTACGCGAAAGCGAAATCGATTTTCCTTAAGAGTTCTCGTTCCATTTCGCAGTTTGAAAAATAGGTCATGCGTCCTTTCGCGAGCACTCTTTCATTCTTAAAGTAATCTTAATTGCGTCGAGTAGGTTGCGTCAGATGAAAGGAATTAAAAGAAGAATAATTCAGGCTGAAAAGAAAACTTACAGATATCGAGTTAAATCTTCAACGTCGACGAGCATTGAATCTTGCTCCATGTGAAGATCATCCCTTCTTAAAAGTCCTTCGACGAGTGCCTCGTTTAGGGCCGCGATTCTCGCGTGCAAGTCATTTGCGACTACTTGAAGTTGTGCGACGTTTAGCTCCGTTAAAAGTACTCGGGATAATCTGCGTCTGTCTTCTCCTAATTGAACGCCAACCTGAAGAGAATAATGGAAAATTTAATTCTTTGTTACTTTCATACAGGGGCGTGTTTGTATTTGAAACTCACTTTTTCCAAGCTGGATCGCACCATCTCTGTAATAGGACTCTGTTTCAGCCTTTGCCTCTCAACTTCCATTTGCATGTGTGCCATTTCCTTGGCCTGTGCTAAGGCCATTCGTGCTTCAGTCTGTAATCTGGCTTGTTTGGCGAAGAAGTCAGCTTCGTCGATCGGAGCTGAACTCGAACCAGTGTCCAGCCTTAACGGAGGAAGGCTGAGCACTTGAGGCCTAACTGGCATTTGTTGTTTCTGTTGATGTTGTTGTTGTTGTTGTTGTTGTTTCGAGCCCAACGAAGTTGGGGTGGATTCTGGAGATACGTCGTTCTCCGAACATGGAGACTCCGTATCTGAAGGTGTTTCGTTCATGAAGCAGATTTGAAGATTCATTCCTGTAAAAAGACATGCTTCCATGAGCATTCTTCTTTTCAGTTATTTCCTTTTAAGTGATTTTCTGTGAATTGAAAACTTTCAATAACTACAAGTGCCACGTTTTGAGGATTTTGCACCATTGTGCGTCACGATCCCGTTGGTCATCTTAATTTAGCACTGTTTCAATTAATAGTTTCACAATTAATAAGGTTAGTCATCTATTACCAACGTAGTTAACACGTTAAAATAGATAAATATTATAAAAATATGGTAGCAAGAAAAATTCAATAGAATTCATTTTACACAAAAAATTTCAGTCTAATTTCCTCTTGAAATGTTTCTCTATATTCCATTGCATCATAATTTGCAATCACTATTCCAAACACATACCTACACTAGAAAATCCACTTTCACTCAAATAAAAAGCCTCCAATTACCAGTTTCTTTTATTATTTGATTTTTAATGACCTCTTAGCCCTCGGACGGCGGATCATGGTGAGAGCCACATTATTTTTATTTTCTAAATTTTACACTGTTCCTTTGAAAATAATTTTTCCAATATATGAAACTCTTTCGTTTTAAAACGATCCATTTAACTTTAGCGAGTCACAACGATTCACTCAAGCTCCGCTGTTCAAGGGTTAAAGTAAATTTCACCGTCTCTACCTTCCGTCCAATCAATCACTGTATCGAAGCGATTGCCGGGCAAGTGTGCTTAAAAAAATGCGAGGCAAACATTTTTCGAGGGTAGAAAAGCCTGCAATGTGTTAAGGGTTGAAGTGATACCGACCGCTTTGAAGCCGCGACTGAAGGCTTGGCTTTCTTCCGCGTTCAGCGCGCAAGTCTTCGGCGTCTGGACCCATGGCCAACCTCCTCCGTATCTCTTCACGGTCGTTTCGCCGCTGTGAACAGGCAGACAGAGAAATCTGAAGTGTGATTACTCGTTACACTCGGGGGAGGAAACCCCCTCGATGCATTAATCCCCTACCCGTTCGCAAGTAAAAGCTACCTTTTCAAACTGTATCGGAATCGCAGTCGCGTGGGAGCGAAGGGCATTAATGAGATTGACAACATCTTTCTAATGTCACGTTTGCATAATGTGTCGCGAATTATTCGGTTAGCGAGTTTGATGTTAATTTAATGAGGCAGGAAATTAATTGTTACCGTTTTACGTTGATTTCTGTGGAAAGGGATATGGAATTAACTAAGTACTAGGTGTACAAATTAATGTGGCTTACGAGCCACCAGTTAGCCGGCTCTGGTTTAGGAGATAAATTTGAAACTTTATGAGATTTCATTTCTTTCATTATTTGACAAGTTGTTCTGGTCGTAAGAAATTTTCCTGGGAAAATAATTGGTAATTTTGTAGGATTTCCAGTAGTCGCACCTGAAGAGTTTCATCTGGATCTCCGCGTACAACTCTATCGAATCGCGTGACAAGATCTTCTCTTTCAAGTTCCTTCGATTCGTCGGATTTCTGGAACACCGCGATCGTTTCTTGTGGCTGTTCCTTGACGGGCTCTTTATCGTCCTCCTGATGCCCCAGAAATGAAAGCCAACTCGGTAATCGATGTGACACGCTCGATTACAGGCCAGTGATAAAAGTAACTTTCAGCTGTTCGAATAGCGACAGAGATTCGTATTTGAAGCGGGAACAGAAGGTGATAAAGTAATTTCTGGTGTATTCGAGTGATACTAGCACCTTTTTTCGGAAAAAGGAAAAAAAGATTTCTTCTAGAAAACCCTATTTTTTATAAGGTTTTAAAGAAAGAATTACGAAAAAATGTTGTTTCTTCGTCTTAAAATCCTTTAACAAAGATTGATAGAATGTTATAAAACAATTGTGTTTCCGACGTAAACTGAAAACAATTCGTCTGTGAAACTTCCAATATTCAATACATTCGATATTGAATGTCTTTGCCAACAAAATTCAGATTACCTGAGTCACTCGTGTGGAAAGAATTCAGTGGACCGAGAAGGTTAAGTTCAGCGTATTAAAAGCCTACATAGTCGAAACATTCTATTGTAATGTAGAAAAAGATATTCACTACCTTCCAATTTCAATGTGTTTTTAACATTTCAATTATCGCTCAAAACAGCGATTCGCTTCCTCCCAAAGTATCAATTAATGTCTCAATTACTCTTGATAAGAAATTTGACAAAAAAAAGAACAAGAACTCCAATGTTGCATAATTTAAACTAAAAATCGTCCATACACACCATGATGATCAAGTGATCAAGAAACAAAATCTCTGTCGCTAATCGTTCGCTAAAATGGCAAATATCGTTTGGAAATTCAAATCTTACGAGATCGAAGTCATCGTATGTGAATGTATAAAGGTCCGTCACGAATCGTGAGTCCTTTTTGTAATGTTTTCTCGCCTTGTTGCTGCTGCCCATGTTACTAAGATTCGCTCTAGTTATCTTGGGACTTTTATAATCTTAGTATTCCTTGTCTACTGTTTCAGAACATTTTCCCTTCGTCGCACTTGCACAATCTCACCAAAAGAAAGTCAACAAATAAATTGTTCAAGATGGATCGCTTATCCGAAACAGGAGGTAAAAGTGGACATGTTCGAGGAGCTGTTTAAGGGAATACCATGAGATGTTTCTTCACGCATGGCGAGACCTTTTAACGAGCTTCAAATCACACAATTCAGGAAAGAAAGTAGTTCGAGCAATTCCTGATCAAGAGATAGACGTTTTTATCAAGTGATTTCTTCGTCATGGTACAATGCATTGGAATAAAGGTATGGTTCACATGCGTGCACTGGCGTAATTAGACAGGGGCCAGAGTAGACCTGCCCCTTTCCACTCAAAATGAGGATTGGTCCCTTCATTATTCTAAAATTCTAAAATTCTAAAATTCCAGACTTTCAGAAATCCCAAATGCCTAAATTTCCAAATTCCAAGGGACGTGGTGAACCTCAGAAAAAATCTTAGTTACGCCGTTGCATGCGTGTATCTTTAATCGTATACTTTCTTCTTGTTTACCATATAATACCACGTTAAGAAGTTTTCAGACAAACCAGCTGTAACTAGAACCGCCTTTCTGTTCGTTACTTATTGTGTCTGGTAAATTAAGTTGAGAACAGGTATCTCAGGTTGTTATTCATTGTTTATCGTGTCGTTAATTATAATGGAAGGCTTTCTGAAGTCTCCTTCGTTTCTGACAAATTTTTGACTGATATTTACACTAAATTCTGTGCTTTTAATGGAAATACACTCACTCTGATCCTCGACTTTACCTTTGAAAAATATAACAACCAAAGGAAATATGCGATTCTTCCAAATTATACTTTCCCAAGCTTCACTTGTAATGACACTAAATTACATACTAAAGAGTATGGATATTCGAGTTGTTATTCAAACTCCACTGTATCGCGCTGCAAATATCAATATCTCCTTTGACCCTGATAAATCAAACCGCAGGCGCTGACGAAATGCCCGTTGGCAAATAATGGATGCGGTTTGCAACCGGAAGAGGATAGGATTGCTGTGGATTACAGGTGAAGATAGTCCGCAATTGTATGCTGATCACTAAACGTGGTGACTTCTAGGGAATTTAATGCAACAAAGCTCTTTAGTTCTGATAGTAAAATCGCACATTTATTCTTTGGTTGTTATTATTATTTTATTAGTGATATTTATGACAGAAATTTAACGATCTATTCTAGTGTCCTGATATTTTCTCTCTACTTAGTGTCTCGATCAGAAATTTTCTTTGTAATCTAAAGAAAATTTCTTTGCTCCAATAGTAATTGTCTGTCCACTTTTCCTCCCAAAAATCCAAGTAATTAAGTATAATAAATCTTCTCAATACCGAAACCTTGTTGCTTCTAATAATCATCTGCCATTCTCCTCTCCTATCTCCTAATTAGTAGCTCCATTAATTAAAAGTTCGAGAATTATCGTTATTGATCATAGGATTTTGTATTCTATTCATTATAATGGATCCTGTTTTGAATAGCACTTCTATCACACTCTTTTTAATCACTTCACCAATTCACTATTAAAGATCTTCTTTGGTTGGGTGGAATAACGCAGAATTCCACTGAAAGTATTCACGTTTTCACCCAAGAGACTCGCACGAGAGGAGAACAACACGAGACTGGCTTGAAACGAGTCAAGTGAGCGGTGAACCGATCTTCCGGTAAGGTTTGTTCGAAGGAGGTGGTGGAACTATTAACCGTCTACAGAGGTTGTTCTAGTCTCAGATTTTCACAGTCCTCGGTGAAAGTGGTTGGCTTGTTTAACGCCCGAACGTCCACGATTATTCCTCTCAGAGACGAGAAAATTTGTCGATCTTGCCAATTATCTACCTGTTGATCTTGGACCCTCGAGGTCGTTGAGACTTCCTGATTTGAGTGCAAAATTTGCATATCGTGAACGGAAGAAATTCACGAAATTGCAACAAATTAATCCTTCAGCACTTGCTTAGGTACACAAATTTGGATTTTTTAAGGCCAAATTTAGTTTGCCAACCTAATACAATGCTCAGGTATTCAATTCTTATTGATCAATCAATTTTTATTGATTGAGTGAAGCATTCAGTTTGTGGGATTATGGTGCCATTTTGGTGCAACCAAAATATAAAATTAAGTTAAAATTATGGCTCTCTCCATGGTTCACCGCTCGAGAGCTAAAATATTCAATGACACTGATACGCGTACTATCATCATTTATTCTCCATTGTTATCGCTCATCATTAAATCCTATTCTAATCTTTACTGCCAAAATGTGTCACGCTCTATCTGACAGTCGTATTGATCGTTCTCCGTGTCGACATCCGTTTCCTGTTCCCCTATTTCCATACAATGGATACTGCACGCTGGCAAATATAGATCGTCTGTGGATTTAATGAGACTCTCGCTATCGGCAGTCGAAAATGGGGTCGTAAACCTTCTCGACCTTATTTTCTGCATCAATTATTCAGAAAACACTTGGCGCGTAACATCTCGTCGAAATTATTCCATGCGGAGATAAAAAATTCTCTCCGAGAAAAATCGGATTTTTCAGTCTTTTCAAACGATGGAGCGGTTTAGACGAGATTTTTAATTTTTCATTGAAGATCTACGCGTTCCTAATGAACGAGGAATTTTATTGTTATTGAGAAATCAACTTTTGGGGTTAATTGGATTAAAATTAGAACTTGAAGAAAAAAAAAATTGCTAGAGTAAGCTTCATTTTAATTTAAACATTCAAATTCTTTTTTTAACCCTTGAACAGCGGAGCCTGTTGAAGTTCCTATCTTTATTAACGCCCACCGCATCCTTTACAGCTTTATTTAAAGCAATGGAGTCAGGGTTTATCAGACATGCAACATTTATGATTACGAGTATATCTCGACCTTCGGCGAACACGATTCAATCTGGTCGCGTGAGCGTTCGTTCAGTTTTATCTATGCGTTTATCCATGAGAACTTCGGTCAGGTTAACGTGAAATCATCATTCATTCCTGTTTTCTGCAAATTCTCTAATTATCCAGCAGCAATATTTTTAGACATAGTAAATGGAAGGTTTATAAAAAGGCCCCTTGTCTCCTGAGGTTATAACTCCCCTTATACCCTCATTTAATCCAGCGGGGGTATAATAAAAATTTTGTTGACCCACAATCAGACAATAAATAATTGTACCACTGATCCACTTACCCGTCTTTCCTCTTCACGAGCAGCTCTCAAATGAGATTCTATTGCGTCCAGGTCGATCTTTGGCATTGCTGTTTCGATGTTGTACACGTCAAAACCACCTTCGAAATCAAACAGAAATAATTGGTTACACGAGATTCTTCTGCAAGTGCAAATAATAACCACTCAAGTTTTGTAATCACAGTATCAAAATAATTTCAAAGCGTACGAATGAATATCCCCATCGTTAGATCGGAAAATATATACCTGGTCCATTATCCATATCAGCTCTTCTCTTATCAGGACGTCTCTGGGTATTCGACGATCTCAACTGCTGTTGTTGCTGTTGTTGCTGTTGCCTTCTTTTCGCCTGGTTCCTTGCCATCTTCTCCTTCTTCCTGGTATCCGCACTGGAAGCCTCCGGGAGGTCACGATCCAACAATTTGTTCGTATCCTCGATGCTGTCTTTCATCATGTTCAAAGCGGCTCGTGAGGACGCGTGAACGGGATCGATAGCTTCCATGGCAACCACGTCAGGCACTGGTTGCACGTATTTCTCGAGATCGACCCCGATGTCCCGGCCGATACTCGACAACAAATCTATCTCCTCGAGTTTCGTGTAGGTGGGCTGCTCTTCTGGGTAACTGTCCGTGTCAGTGTTGCTTTCCGAGTCGTCGTCGGCCGAGCCGTTCGACGTGACCGTCTGACGGTTGCCTATTTTGGAACGGGTCTGGTGAGGCAATTCCTTTGCCTCGCGGATCAGGTCGATGTGCTCCACCACGATATCCTCTGCCTGGAAAAATGATGCACCTTAAGTCGCCTTATTCGTATTTCTAGATCAGAACTTTTGCAAGAAAATTTCAAAGACCGTCGCTTTTTTTAAAACGAATATCATACAGGAAGAGTCCCAATTTCCATTTGTATGCCTAGGGTTCGATAAATTCTAGACGCGGCCCTGATCAGAGAAATTAGACTGCATTTATAAATCATTCACATCTGTTGGCGAATCGAGGACGACCCGTATCTACGGTAACTGGTATTTAGTCACAAAGTGGAATCAAGATCGCGGCAAAGATTCAGGAAATTTATGATTAACGTCGACACTTACATATGCGACACGAGCGCAGCTAATTGTAAGTAACGTCGTTTCGGAACGAAGAACTCGGTGAATGCGATTTGTACGCGTGTGCAGTCATTAGTCTCCCGCACGTACACTCGGAAGCGTGACATCAACGATGTAAAATGAATTCTCGTTATTCTCGATTGCAAGTGCTTCAGAAATCATTTATACTCGCAGCTGACTAAGGAAAGGGTTAGGGGAAGTGAGATTTAGAATTTTGAAACCAACCTCGCCAACCTCGGCAACCTCGGCAACCTCGCCAATCTCGCTAGCCTTTCCGGAATCGGGTATGTCCTCTATCTCAGGAAACTGAGGAGTCTCCTTCACGCTGGTCGACAATTCGACGATTTCAATTTCAACAGGTATCTCTCGTTCTTCTTTCTCTTCTAACTTTGCCGTTGACAATTTCGTGTTCTCCGCGATCGTGTCAGCCAGCGCTTCTTTAACACCGTCCAATACTGTCCACCACTGTACAATACCATCCACGGAGTGCTTCTCCAACACAGTCTGATGCGTTTCCGCTTCGACCACGTCGTTGACCACGTTCGATTTTGCCGAGAAGACCTTTTCTTCCGTCCTTGTGTCGTCAGCGCTTTCAACGTGATTTATGCTCTCAAGTGGATTCTAGAAACAAAATCAATTCCACGGACAATATTTTAATTTGACAAAATTCAAGGTATTAGACTGAAAATTTTATAAGAGACCAAAACTTTCTCTTCGAAGTTTAGTATAAAATTTTGAAACGAACCTCGTCGGTCTCGCTGGTCTTCCCAGAATCTGTTGTATCCTGTATCTCAGAAAACTGAAGGGTCTCCTTCACACTGGTGGTTATTTTGTCGATCTCGTTCCCAATGGGGATTTGCTGTTCTTGTTTCTGTTCCAACTTTGCAGCTAACAATTTCGTGCTCTTCTCCGCTATTGAGTCATCATCATCGTCGCACAATGTCCACCCTTGTACAACACCGTCTACCACTTGCTTTTCCCACCTCGTCTTACGTGTTTTTGCTTCTTTTACCTCCTCACTGGTCAACAGTTCGTTATTCTCAATTCCAACGTGAATTTTCTGTTCTTCTTCTTCCACTTCTAACTTCTCCGTTGACAATTTATCGCTGTTCTCCGCAATTGAGTCGGGAAGTGCTTCTTCATCGTCGCCTGTTTTCGCACATTTCTGCTTCCAGTACTCTTTCAATCTTGTCTCATGCGCTTTTTCTGATCTGACCTTTTCAAGTAACACTGCGGTGAACAGTTGTGATACAGTCTGGAAACAAAATTAATATTTTGATTTTTATTGAAACAGAGTTGATTGATTATTCACCCCATTAAACATATATTCGAAGAACTTTGGTTCTGAATGCTTCAATTCTAAATTACTCGATAAAACTTTCAACATCTTCGGCATGGCAGGGAACGTGTTAATATAACGAGTTAACTTGCCTTCTTTAACCAACAGGTTATTCCCCCGACAAGAAATCCGATCAGCGTAAAAGGCAAGTCAGAAACACTAGACAGAGAAGCAACGAAAATCCAATTACCGGTATTTTGTAGTCGTAGAAGCTCTTCTTCTCGTTCTTTTGCACGCAAAGGTAATTGATGGTGTCCTCGTCGTCGTTGTTGTTGTACTCGCACAGCCAGGGGTAATCTTGTTCGTCCTCTGTCAGATTTGTGTCGTATAGATGAGACGGTCGCAGGTGTTGAAAACCTAGATAGTTAGGGTTGACGATACCTCGCGAAGGCAGATTTCCTTCCTCGGACCAGTCGGACCACTCGGACGGTGTCAACTCGTGGGACGAGTCTTCGCGAGAGGAGTTACGCCCTGCGGAATTTCATGCCCGTTGCACATTGCCGGAATACTGAATAATCGGCCTGATGCAGCGGAGGCTACTGACTCATTGCAGTAGACCAGACACTCGACCAAGGGGATTTTAATTCAATCGTTTTATTCGAATACGCGCCAGTTAAACGTTTCTACGTCTACAGGATGATTCACTATTCGCGGTGATCATAACTCGAATAATTCTCTGGTGCTGATGAAAATTTATATTTCATTTTATATTCTATATAGGAAAGTATGTTTTAAGAGAAATTATATATTTAATTACACTAGTTTTACTAGAAATACCAGGTTTTTGTCTGTTATATTATTTCCAGGCATACTACTGTCGATTTTTATGAACATAAACATACGAAGAAGCAACGTGCTATAAACAGATACGCTGCTGGAGACTTTAATCGAGTGCACGTGTGCTTCAGGAATTTGTGCTGGGAGGCCAGAGACTTTTCGCTACATCATTTTCCCTGGGGATGTTTAAGAGCAACGGTGCCTGGGACATCATTTTCTCGGAGAAGCCTGATTTGATCGCGAGCCTACACATGAATCCATGTATGTACCTGCATCATTAAACCATAAGTGTCATGGTTAATGTCAAGGGCGATGTCATTCTTAGAATGCTTCAGGGTCAGTCTTAAATATCGAAGTTCGTGACTTTTATGACAACAAAGAACGTAAGTGACTTATATTTTCCTTCCTAATTATGCATGAAACTGAATACATTAAAAATGAACAGATTCTCCTTTTTAATTCATTCCTAATTTGGAATATTTAAATTTGATAAGCAATGATTCATTTAATTTATATTAATTCTCGATTGACTCAGACTTTGCCGTTAAAGGGGTAATAAAATTTGTTCAAGTAAACGTTTACACACGAGTAATAAGGGCGTTCTACCCTCGGAGCGCCATTTTCCGTAAGGAAGCCTATCGTGTTCCGTATTGTACCCACATTTTCTATGTCTTCGTATGTTTGTTTTGACGAGTACTACATGCTTATCAAGTTGCTTGTTATTAAGACGTTGAATTAATATTGGACATGGTTATTATAAGAAAGACTATAGGGTGGGTTAAAATTCATCTATGCCACTGATGCGAGTAAATAATAAAAAAAAGTCAGGATCGAAATTTGAAAGAATTAAAATTGAATCGCTCATTTACCTTCGTAATCGTCCAAGCTCTCGGCGGAACTGTTCTTCCGGATCCTCGGCACAGTCAGGTTGTTCAAGTTCTCGTTCTCGTTCTCGTTCTCATTTTCGTTCTTAGTCTCGTTCTGGTTCTCGTTCTCGTTCTCGTTCTCGTTCGAATTATCGATCTGCACGTTCTCGCGTGTGATCGCGAACGAGGACCAGGTAGTGGTGTCCTCGGCGACACGGAAGTCCTCGGTGTCGGCCAAGAGGAAATCGTTGGAGACGTCGTTGTTGTGATTTTCGATTTCCACGCTGATCGGCTGGTTCGGCTCGCTCCTACGAAGCTGACTGTGAGCGAGAGACAGAGGAATGAGTCCAAGTGGATCGATACGTTCCGTTAGCCGCGGCTCGTACGATCTATGGCGATGCAAATATAGGTAGCACACCTACGTATGAACGTCTGCGAGGTGGCACGAGCTACTCTGCTCACCCACATGGACGCACTTTGCGAGGGCATTCTTTCTCGCTCGACTGCTTGAAATTCTCCAGCACGAGGCATTGATTCATTCAACATCGATGCAAAATATTCATGATGTTGTAGAAGAAACTTTTTCTACAATTTTTTTCCGAAAACCGCTCTGATACCGCGTTAGATATACATTTTTCTTCGAGTTTCATTTCTACTTCAGCAGAGGTACCATTGTCACCTCTGTTGACCCTTCATTCAAATTCGTGAGCATTTACATATTGAATTTGATCTCACTTCTACTTTCGATCATTATTTCGGTGTTCTTCAGGTCTTTGTGCATTATTACGATTAAGTACCTTGTATAATTAAATAAAGTATACATAGTTACGTATCTACTTGACTTTTTTCAGGGAAAGGAATATTCAGCAATTATATGAATTACTTGTCTCTTGACATCTTTAATTAAACTACTATCCACTTGATATTTTTGGTATATTTTTTCATGACGTATAAGTGCTTCATTAGTAAAGTGGTATCGACAGTTGAAATTACAGATTTTTTTAAATCAAATGCAAACATCATGAATATTAAAAATTTATCATTCAAACTCGTTTCCGTTGAATTTCAGGATCGATCGAGAAGGAATGGACAGTGCGTTTATGTGCGTGGAGGTGCGATTTCATCGATGGGATCGTTGATACTTTGTATGACGTGTATGAATCGGAACAACGTCAGCCAAGCAAAATTAAGCAAAATAAATTAAATTAAACACGTAAACAGGGATACCGAGTTCGTTTATTCGGGTAAATTCGTTTTAAGTGTTTTAGTTTGTGCAAATTACATAAGCGTGTAAACTTGGTTTAACGAAAGTAAAACGCCATACAAAAACTTTCTAATAATTTCGTATAGTTGATCTCTAAAGGCAGGTATAATGGTAAAATCGAAAGAGGAATAAAAAAAAAAATCTTTGTACATCGCTAACGAGACATTTACGCGTAACAATAATTGTTTATTCAACAAAGTTGCGTTTTGATGGATAGGAGGGGCGGTAAAATCATTCATGCGACAATCACTTGTTGCGATCTGTTACCTGTACAGGTGTGTGTTGTTGTGAGTGCACTGTTTGATGCGTTCGATCAAGGGACAGGGTTAAGTATTTACAAACGGAGACATCGATAAACAAAATCTAGACGAGATATCGTATTTTGGTCAACATCATAAGAAGCACGTATACCTTGAATGCGTGAATGAACCAAAAAATAAAAAAAGGAAAAATAAAGGAAAATTAACACGAACTTTGAACTGTATCAATAAAGGGGGACCGTTTAGAGTCAACACTAACCTTATGGTTTTTCCTTTTCAGTTAAATGCCTTGGCATTGCTAATAATAAGGTACGGAATAAATATTCTACAATTTACACTAGATAAGTAACATTTAAAAGCTACTCGTTGCTAGATCTCAGTGAAACTACGTAATTGAACGTGAGCTAATTATACTAATTCTACAAAAGATTACACTCTCTTCATTGTCAATTTTGAGAGAGAAAATTCTACAACATCAAAGACTGAATGAACCTAATGGAATTATGAATTTCACATTCCCTTTTTTAGGGAATGTTTTTACAAAGGTTTATGGACCTTATTACATAATCTCTCAGAAATTATTTTTTGCCGGGATGATAAACTGTTGTTTTCACTCGGTATAACAAGAACCCTCAACACTAGCGCTACTTGCACTCTATTCGCTGTAAAATTGCTTCACTACGTGATATACAGAAAATAAAATATATTTAGCGATGTACCACTAGATAATTGTCTCAGAAATATGAAAATAAGAGGAGCAATTAATAAGCAGAATTACAAGTACATGATATCACGTTAATACTTCCTTATGCAAAAGCTGAAGCTTACACAGTACCACCTATTTGTTTTTTTTTTTTACAGAATATTATTAACATTACAATTTCATACGTATATTCTATTTTGCTTTCCATTGTATTATGTACACCGACACTGAATCGAAATTATAAATGAAAATCGTCTCCTCCAAAATAAAGGAACAGATAGATCACAACGAGGAGCTACATAAAATCACTGAAACGTGAGACGGTTATTCGCGAAAGCCACCCCAGCGCGAATCGTTAGTTAATTATCACACTAATGTCACAAAAAGCTCGAGGATGAACGAAAGCGACGTCGAAACGATTGAATTGGCTACAGGACAATAATACGAGAAAATCCTTAATGTACTTACTTGTTGTTCAGTCCTCCAGGATGCAGCGGCGCCGAGACGGCCTCCCTGATCCGCATATCGGATCCTCGTCTGAAAACAGTTCGAATAAAGTTTTATATCGCTCCCTGCAACTAGTAACACATGCACGCGCACGTTAACACACGAACCGCGTAACTATGGTATTCATCGATCCTGCGGGATCATTTTTGCAGGCCGGCGAGAAAGTGAAAAATACACGCGTGTGTCGAATCGATCGTGCAAGCAAAGTTCCTCTACCTAACCGAACACGAACAGGGAAAAAGGGAATGGGACTCACCGACCGCCATGTTGAAGCCGTGCGCAAGGGTGCTCGCGTTTCCCGTGGTTTATCGATTTGCAACCAACACCCTCGTTTCGTTCTCCTACCTTCACTCACCCTCGCTCATTTACCTTCTCCTTTTCTCCTAACCCCTATCCCAACTTTCCTTCCCTTTCTCCCACCATGTGCAACGTACAGTCGCGTGGAACTTAGGCTTCTCGTCCTTAGGTAATCTGGACTTAGGGTACCTTCGACTCGCACCGATCGAAAAATACATTTTTAGGATTTTACTTTGGAATCGAACGAATTTTTTTTGTATTTATTTATGGAGGGACGTGTGGTATTATGGTCTTCTTCATAATTGCCTCCCCCCCGCTCCTTCGGTGATTTTTAGATTATAATAAAGATATCTTGTAGTCAGATGGATCGAAGTTTTATTTCTCTGGGGAAGCCAGATTTGATCACGAGTGTATAAATATTATTGCCAAGTAGCGATACATAATACATATATGATATCAGATTTTGTGGCGCCATCGGATCTTACTGTCCATGATATATCTTTCAACTCATCCGAGGTCGAAAGCAATAAATTTTGTTCTTGTGTTAAGCGTCGTGACATACATACGGATATTTGCTACCATTTATCTGCGTATTACACTTTACGTCCTGTACAAGATTAATGGCTGTGAAAATCGTTGTCGAACATCATGAATATTCATATCTGATTTGAATTATACAGAGTGTTCGACTGGTTTGCGTAAAAATACTAGTGTATTCTGCGACTACAAATCAGATTAACCCTTTTACTACAACAGCATTAATACCAACATGTGAGTATAATAATGGAGAAATAATAATTAATTGATAGACCATGTATGTGAAGGTACTCCAGCAGGAATAATTTATTATATTTCAATACAACTGTTTACGAAATTTCTCTGTAAAGAATTAATTCTATAAATAGGTCTTTAGGACGTCATTCTAACTAAGTGGTTTTATTTTCAGGTCCTTGGCGACTACCCAGAGGGACCATGTCTTGAGGCGGCTCTGCTAGTACCAGAGATGTGTTTTTACTGAATACCGTAGGCTACCAGTGATCCACGTGGCATCGAACGGGTTAACATAAAAATATACCGGTATGTACAACTTCTGGTAAAAGTAATCGCAACAAGAAAAATTAATTTAGCACAAGTGGTTTTGAAATTTGGATTAGCCCGCGTTACCGAAACGGAAGTGGCCGTACGAAAACGCGTCGTTCGTTAACTTTGCGTCACGTTATGCATTTCAGCTCCCCCATGATGTCTACGCCTCTGCGCACATACTATGGTGACCCATTCCACGAGCTTATAAACGAAAGAATCACGTCACCCCTTATCTTCTATTTACTCACTTTCTCGTTTCGTATGCAGCTGCTGACAGTTTTCGGCCGACAAAGCCGAACTTCTTGAAATCTTACGAAGCCTCCGACGATCGCTGTCCTCGCATTCCACGAGATGCACCAACGTGAAGAGATAAATAGGCGGAAAACACACTGTGAAGGTTGTATATCTTCGATGTGGAATTCTAAACCGATTTTTGTTCCTTTTCAGTTGGCAAGATCGCAAGAAAGATGTTTTGGATGCACGCGCGAGTAACGGGAGGAGACTGCGAGAAATGGTGTCGGTGTTCGATCTCTCTTCTACTGAACCCTCGAGTAAAGGGTGGTGCATGCGCGTTGACGAGCGTCGGGGTTACTGACGTCACTGCTTAGGGTGAGAGTTTTGTTTTTCTGAGTGGCTCGATATTGAAACACTAGTCTTCTTCTTCGTCGTCTTATCTTTTGTCAATCTGAACTGTCAGAAGGATTTTTATTTTCTAATCGATAGCGGATGATATATACTTCGAAAAATAGGTTTCTTTCAGAGCTGGATAAAATTAAGGGAAAAATATATATATATAAGGGTCCCTTCAATACATTGTCATTTTCTCCAGAGATGCCTACTGAGAACTATCAGTATCCCTGGAGAAGCCTAATTTAATCGTGAGCATAGGTAGATAATTTCTGCAGTATAGAGTATAGCAGGTAATACGGTTCGTATAGAGTATAAATTAACCGCCTCGCGCTGAAGCGCGTCAGTCTGTCTTTGGACATTGTAGAGATAGGTTGTTGTACGCCTGTTTTCGATGGTAGCGCCGTCTATACAAAAGAGGCTCAAACTATTCGATGACTTACTGACTTATCGGTAAGGAACTAATAGGTCGATTATTTACTGACTATCTGCGGTCAGTAATCCGTTCAGTAGTTTGCGCCGTTTCTGTACTGATGGCGCTTCTGTCAAAAAGTACGCGCTTCAGCGCGAAACGCTTGATTTATAGTAGAATTATTAGTAGAATGAGATAATTAGTGAAATATAAACTAGAGTATAGAATCGTTCTTTATCTCAACAAAAATGAATATACATTTCCAAAGCACCTTAATAATTTCTATAATTAAAAATTACAATATCTAATAATAAGAATCTAGGTTTGATAGTTCTATTGTTAAACATACGCTGTCAATAAGCCAGTCAATTGATTCAACGTTGTTCGAAAAAAAAGAAAACAGTGTTGTTCCGCTGATTAGATTTCTACAGTGAAATAGGATTTAATGCGACGTGGCCGTGTTTTTAATTGGTCTGGCTTAATTAAGCCACTCGTGCGAGACTGTTGCGAGTCTCAGTCGTCTCCAAGAAAATTCTAATTGCTGAAAGAAAGCTGTTTCTTCTCCTTTTCTTTATTATTACTCTACTGCTTTTCTGCGTTTCCACGTGCATTTTCTTCTTACTCTTCAGCTTTTCTCGAGTTAATAAAAATTTCTTGAACCGTTTCTACTTTTCTAATTTCTTCTGTTCGATACAATATCAATATCTTCTTATTTTCTTTAATTTGTCGCAAGGAAAACGGACTAAAAGCAATCCATTCGTTTTCTCATTTCATAAGTTTTTATTTCTAACCCAATGAATTAATCGGTCGTTAACGAAGCGACCTGTTCGTATCGGAGTCCCTGATATTATTCTCTGAGAAGCGTTTTTGAGCGGATTGTACGCGCGTGTGACGCGTTGCGATGTCGACTTTGTGACCGACATGCAAATTCGTGCTAAATGGATCTTTCTGGGAAGTTAGGGGAACACGCGTGTCCTGTGTAATGCACGAACAGCAAACATGATTTATCATGACATTGGGAAACGAGATTTCGTGACGAGGAACACCTGATGGAAAGGTTCATGAACTCGTTGAAATCCGGTCAATTTTCAGCAGTATGTGAAACGTGTCTAATTAGTTTAATTAGGAGACAACATCTTTGTAAAATTGTAAGAGAACGGAATCGTTGAAACTGCAAATTCGGATGCATATCTCATAATTGCCAATCGATTCAGACCACGACGGGCATCGAACGCGGCAAATTGATAACCGAATGCAAATCAATTTAATTGCGTTCACGGGAGGACAACCAGTATCTGGAGTCTGGAGGAAGCGTGGTCACTCTGAATACCTCAGGAGTTGTGATCGCGATTCGGTATTCAATATCTAATAGTTATCATTACGATTCGTGAATCTTGCTAATTTTTCATCATTACTCCCGGCATAAATTAAAAACTCCACAAAGTTCACCTCGATAAACGGTAAAAAATTTCCAAAGAAACACCAAACGATTGTAGCAATTAAATGAGATTGAAATTAATGTTTAACCAAAACTTTGCAATTTTCGTTAACTTTATGAAATTAATTATCGAAGAAACTTTCGGTCGGACGTGGCAGGTATTATGAAATTCAGCAACGACTGACCCGTGCAAAATGAAAGGAGTAATTATTAATTTTAATGAAATTTCGCTTGCAAAATATGGATTAATAGCGGTTAAAAGTTCTTGTTTATCCTGACCGAAACAGGACTTTCGAGATTATGACATCAAAGACATTTACTTCAAAACACCAGAGTATATAATTATTTCATGCTGCGGAACGAACAATTTCATTAAATTTACACTCGGGAAATATTTAATTAAATTGATACGATGTAATAAAGAATTCATTACAAAACATACACAACAATATTGACCTAAAGTTAAATGTATAACTTTCAAACGAAAGAGTTTCATATATTGGAGGAATAAGTTTTAAAGGAACTTGAAATGAAACGTTTATCACTTCATAATTTTTCTGATACAAAATTCGCAATATTCACATGACTATCTAATATATCTTCAAAGTTTTATTCCACGGACATGTACGTCCCATTTCCGTCATTATTCTCTATGTTTTAATCAGCCTTCGTTTACACGTTATGCCTCTTGAAACCATCAAAAGACTGAGATTCCATCTCATCATCGTCCAATAAAGTCAAAGGATTTTCGAAAGCATTGAAAAGCTCAAGTGTAGGTAGCACTCGTTATCATTGAAGTGTTCTCAATCGTCATCCAATTATACGTGAAAACACGAGTCTAGCTAATTGGAGCCGATCCTACGGCAACCAACAAATTACAAACTAAAGGTGTAACATCGTTTCAAGCAGCCGCAAGTCCGAAACGACATGATCGAGCGTACACGCGGGCAAATGCAAATACACGTTCGTTAGGAAGCACGTGATGTTTGAGTTGCGAACGATCGTTATCAGAAACTAGGAAAACGTGCTTCAACAACGTTTCAAGATCGGTGATCGCAAGTTTGCGGAACTTTCGGTGCAGTGAGACGAGTCGCGAGAAAATTTGTATAAACGCGACACCGACGAACGTGTGCAGGCTGTTCTTAACGGGCAATTTAACAAGACGGGGAGGTACTTCAATCTTCGCACGAGAGTCATAAAGTTTGCCGGAAACCGCTATTGGAACTCTAATGGGAGCCGAAAGATGTTCACCGATGTGTATACACGGGCTCAACGTCTCGTTTCGTTGAAATGCTTTAATAGCAACCGTCTTGCTCGCTTTTCGTTCATATTAAATATTTAATCTGCTTCTGGATGTATCGTTTCAAAGAAGCAGTTTATTTAGTTTCGCTTATCTCTTATGTAAAATTTCGAAAACGGAGCAAAATTGTATAAAAATTGGAGCTCTCTTCATGGGCTGCCGTCCGAGGGTTAATTATTAACTGGATGTACAGTATGTCCCTTCTCCAGGGTAAATGGTGACGACTCCTGTTTCCGTCCTTTACCATATCTAGGTTTGTGGGACCACTTCTTGCGTATAAACGTTTACGTACTGTTCATTAAGTTAAATTAGTTAAATTAAATTTCATTGAAATCCACTCATCCACCCTATTACTATATTCGCTGCTTCAAAAAATGCAATTCCTCATTCTTCAGTGCATTCTATACGTCTGAAAGAATTTTCATTCGAAAATATCTTATGATTCTTCTTGCTTCCATTGTGGGAACACATATACCTCTTACCACGATTTAGCATATACATAAATAAGAATTGCCTATGAATAGGGAACATTTGAAGAACAGCGTCGTCAGAAATACACCGATGGACGGTATCCATGTTTACAATAGGGGAGAGAAAGGGATAAAAGAAGCGTTCGGTTGCAATATACTCGGCTCTCGATATGCGCATGTATCTCATTTTGATCGCCAGATTTCGGGTACGTCTTGCATCGTCAGCGAAAGAGGGTCGATGTCAATGGCGAGGTAGATAAAGCAACTGTCGAGCATTCTCCAACGAATGGAGGTGAAGAGTCGTTCGATACGCGTCTTTGTCCCGTTCTCTCATTCGTGACAAATTGTCTCGCCTAAAGAAAGCTTCGTGCCAGTTACGACACTTGCGAAGTTACTTTGTAATTAACACGAAGCTCGAGTTAATCGGATTTAGAACAAACCTTAACGTCACGTGGGAGGCAGTTCATGATTGATGAGGAGGGTTGAAAATGGACAAAAGTTTAATACCATCTTTCTTAAAAAGAAACTTTTCTGGTCTTTGTGCTTTATTCTTGAATGAAGAAATGACCACAAATGGTACATCCATTCTACTTAAATCCTTTGTGATATAATAATTTGACCTCAGCAGTGCCAGATCAAGGGAAGGTCTAAGGGAGGCTACTGATGATAAATGATGATAAATGAATGATAAATAATGCTTCATACCGGTGATGTAATGGATGTTCATGACGATTTAACGATTTTTAAAAGGGTTAATATGCTTCTGTTTGTTGGTTAACTTTTCAATGCGAATACCGTGCTGAATATAATTAAGTTATCAGTACATTGTTCTACAGACATGGAAAATCCATGTTTGAAAGCAAACGCGTTCCGTTCGAAAAGGGCCTTTGTGCATACGTCATGTCAGTTGCGGTTTCGTGACAGATTATGATGCGGTCTCTGGGTGCATTCAGCTGGAGCCGCATTGACAGGGAATAACATGCGGATGAAACGATCGTGTCACCATGAATCCATTGCGATTAAACGTCGGTTGAGATA